AGTTGTCTTCCAGAAGAGTTATTGAAAAAGTGATACATACAAGTAAAGAGAGAGGCCACTGAGTTCCATTTATCAGCTCATAAAGTTTTTGACAATAGGGAGCATAGATTCTATTCAGGATTGGATTAAGGAAGGGTCTCCTGCAGATCCACAAGTGTAGGTGAGTCTCCAGGGAATGCAGTTTCAGGAAAGCAGTTCTGGTATGCAGGGATGATTATCAGCTGATGCGGCACAGCAGTCATCTTGTAGTTACCAGGAATGGTGTTGTGGGGATCTGTAGTGTGAGTTGTCCTTGGGTATCTGGCTTCCTTAAGAATGGCAGAGTAGTTCTTGTTTTCCCCTGAGGTAATGCAGGGCTGGTAATTATCATCTTCTCAAGTTGCAAGTTCTTCAACCTTGTTTTCGGCCTCATGGCCATCCAGCGCTGGAGAGGCCAGGGAGGCCCCCCCCCCAGGGGGGGGGCAGGCCATTCCAGCGGCAGGGGTGGGGAGCCCCCGGCCGAGGGGCCCCCCCCCAGGGGGGTGGGCGGCTGCACAGCAGGGGCGGGGAGCCCCCGGCAGCCCAGTCTGCTTTAACTACTAGTACATAATCAGCAAATTATTGCCTTAAGCTTCCTAGTACTAGCAGGCTAGCTTAGGAAATTTGAGTGGACATGCTTGATTGAACCTATTCCACCTCTGATGTAGTAAAAACGATTCTTCTCCCCAGTGCAAATTGCCCCATTATTTCTCGTCTTGGTAAATGGTAGTGTCATCTGCTCTTTGCAGCTGCTCAAGACATATTTACTTCTTTATACTATATTGCATTCATTTTATCATTAAATCTTACCTGCTTTCCTACAGCTTGAATCTGACCACTTTTTACTACCTTCCACACTACTGCTCTGATCTCTGCCGTCATCACTTGTACCTGGTTTATTACACAAGCCTCTTGCGTGGTATTCCTCTTTCCATTCCTAACCACCTCATTGGTTTTTCTCTGTAACACCTAGGTTGACATTTAAAAAATAAATTGTGGGAGGCCAACAGGTGGTGTGATGGTTAAGGTGCTGATTTCCCACATGGTTGACTGCAGTTTGAGTCCTGGACCTGGCAGCTTGAAAATTATAACAAACAAATAGATAAATAAATAAGTAAATGTTAATAAAAAATAAATTGTGGGTATTACCACTCTCTAGCTTGGAACTCTCAGGGCCTTTGTGTCATGCTTAGAATTAAAAAAAAAATATTTTAATTGCCAGAGAGTACATGCAGTGGCCAGAGAGAGAGAGAAAGCTCCCTGCAATGGGGTGTGGTCATGCCTTAATCCCTTCTCCTTCATTCCTCCATTCTCTTGGGATTTAGGGCATGCATGCACATGTGCCCAGTATGTTTTACAACCTGCAGTTGGCTATGTGGGATTGAGTTCCCTTAACTACTAAACTGCACACTCAATTTGATACAAACCTTTTATCTTGGCCAACAAGACCCCATAGAATATCACAGCTGGCCACCTTTTTTAAATTTTAGCTTACTTAGTTTCTTTTTCCTTCATTACCCTCTAGCCATACTGGCCTTCTTGATCTTTAGCATGCCAAGTACATGTACACTTTAGGACCTTTTGTACTTTTTTTCTTGTGTTTGAAATAGTGTTCCTCTCTGTATTTTCATGGTTCAGTCCTTCATTTCATTTAGGTCTAGATTCAAATGTTGCCTCAGAGAATCTTTCTCTGGCTACTTTGAATAAAATAATACCTGCTACTCTTTATCCTCATTATCATAGGACAGAAAGGGTTTATTGTCCTTATTATTGCCTTCTGATGATGGGTTGTTTTTTTTTATTTTTAAATTCTTCACACATTATGTGTAAGCTCTGTGAAAGAATCGCTTAATTTTCTTCTGTAATCCCAGTGCCTTAAAACTATTTGAGCTACATGATTGCTCTTTATTAAACATTTATTGAGTATATGAATAACTATGTTTAGTGCCTGTATAAATTAGAGTGAAAGAGGGGCCAGCAGATGGCATTGTGGTTAAAAGTGTTGAACTCTCACATGGCCGATTGTGGTTTGAGTCTCGGACCTGGTGGCTTGTTTTCTCACTTTCCCTTTCTCTTTCTCTGTGTCTCTGATCAAACTGGAAAATAATAATAAATAAAATTAAATAAAATAATTCTTTAAAAAAATTAAAAAATTAGAGCAGAAGAGTGTGTGCATGTGTATGCTGCTACCTAAATGCATAGGTATACAGAATACCCTGGGGATATCTATCTGGAGACTTCAGATTTCCAGATACTGCTGAGGCATGTATTTTTCATCATAAGGTGCGATAGAATGTAACATACTTTTAGGCGCCTTTGGAAACTTAAAGCTATTAAAATTAATTCTCAGTCATAGATTCTGTATTTGCGAATTTGCCTATTTGCTAAAATTTATTTGTAATGCCAGAATCAGATCTTGCAGAGTTTTTGTAACCATTTATAGACATTCTTAGAAAGAAAATTTGAGTTACCTGAAGTGCACATTTCCCAGCTGAGCCTGAACAAAGCAGTACTCTGTCTTCTTGTTTTAGAACTCTGCCTTCTCATCTTAGCACTTATTCTGTAAGCAAGTTTCCTTTTTGTAGTATATCTAGTGTAGTATTTTTAAAATTAATTTATATTCATTCACTATATATCATTACAGCAAACAAAGTGAGATTTCCCATCCAGAATACACTGTAAATTGGCTCAATCAAGCACATCAACATACGTGTTATCATCAACAAATAATTTTCCATTTGTTTCCTGTATATTTTGTTATTTTTGCTATTCTCGATTCTCTATCTCCCACCATCTGCCGTGTCTCACCCTCCTTCCACACTGTCTCTGGTATCCATGGTTGCTTTCTATGCCTTTTCCCCCCATGTTATTTATTCGCTAATGAACTTAATTAATCTAAATATTCCCAGTAGCAAGAACTGCTGATATATACATATCCATGAACACAAGTCTGACTTTAGGCATAAGCCTCAGTGAGTAGAATGAACATACTATGAAGTAGGACCTAGCTGGGACTATATAGCTTACTGCAGTCATCAAATATGCATTTTTTTTTTAAATTTCGAGAAAAATAGTTTTCATGTTTTTTTTTTTTCTCCTGAGACTTTTTTTAAAAATTACTTAATTTACATTCATCCCCTAATCATCATCACAGCATACAGAAAGTGGTTTCCCATCCAGGATACACTGCATAGTGGCATAATCATGTATGTTATCATCAGTAATTTTCCAGTTCTAGTTTTGTATATATATATATATATACACACACACACACACACACACACACACACATTCGGACTCCAGATGTGTTTTCTTGTAATGTTCAATAAATATTTGGGGAGACCATTGTTATTAATGATACTATATGGAATAGTATGAGTATTTTAGTATAAAGGAATTACTTCTTGTGAGCTCTATACCTTGGTCTAATTACTTAATTTCTCTATACTTCATCTTCATATTTGTAATATATGAATGAAGTAGTAGCCTTCCTGTAGAGTTGTTAGAGTAACTAGATAATATATGTAAAAGCCTAAGAATAGTTTGTGGCACATATTAATGGCTCAGTAAGTTATCAGTTATTATTAAAAGAACTAGGAGTGGGGCCAGCAGGTGGTGTGGTGGATAAAGGTGCTGGATTCTCACATGACTGACCATGGTTCGAGTCTTGGACCTGCAGCTTGCTTTCTTGCTTTCCCTTTCTCTCTCTGGTTAAAAAAAAAATAAAAAACAACAACAACAAAAAACAATAACAACAACAAATGGAATTAAATAAATAATTCTTAAAAACAACAACAACAAAAGAAAACCGGGGTAGTAAGTTGGGTTAGTATTACTACAACTACTATTTCTTTGGGTTTGAGTCATTTTTTTCCAGAGGTTTTTGCTATAGGGCACACGTGACAGAAGGATTTGTCTCTTGGGATTTGGGGCATGCACACACATGCGCTAACCATGAATTTTTAGCCTCCAGGTCTGGGACTTGAACTGTGGTCAACTATGTGGAAGTCCAGCAATGTAACCATTACACCATCTGCTGTTGCTGAGTCTTTTTTTCTGGTTAACTGGCCTGGGAGTCTAATTATTTTAACAACCAACAAAAATTGCTGAAATATAATTCATTAGTTAGTGACTTATTGGAAATGTCTTTATATAAGGAAGGTTTGATGAATCGTATATTGTTATAGTAGTTTTTAATTGCTATTTACTTTTGATGATTCTTTATGATACATTCACATAGAAAACTCTTGAGACTGTTATATTAGTAGTAATGTACTAGACATGAGGTTTTACAATTTGAGTTTGTAGTGTTAAATTTCATACCAGGGTTACACAGGTACTTTTTTTTTCCATGCATGTGATATTTTTAGTGGTATTACAGAAATTGTTTCACCAGTTTTGATACAATTGAAAACATAATTGATTACTTTCTGGCATGTGCTAAAAAGAAATAAAACCCTTTTGTTTTAAGGAAATTAGCAGTAGAGGAAAATTACCGCTTAGAGAAAGAAGAGAAACTTTCCAAAGTAGATGAAAAGATCAGCCATGCAGCTGAAGAGCTGGAGACTTACAGGTATTAATTACATTTTCCTTTTTTTGAGGTGGGGGGAGGTATCTAAATACTAAATACAAAGAAAAAGATTAAAGCAATCAAAAATAAATAACATTTAACTTTACTAATTTTGATTTAAATTTTTTGCTGTTATGCAGCCAATTCAGAAAAATATAAAAAGGGAAATATACTTTTAGGATTTGAGATTTTAAAGTCTCTGATGTTTGAATATCAACAATTTGTCAAGAAATATATGAATAGGTGTTAATTTCAAGGCCTTTCCTCTTTGGTTCAAATAAGAAAGAATGTATATGGTATTAATGTGACAAGTGTTTCACAGAAGGAAGAGTTAGCCACAATTAGCGTTCTGAAGAAATGTTTATAAGACTATATAGGTCTAGTTTTTACCTTGGCTTGTGACTCATAGGATCCACCAAAATAATAGCCTAAAGAAAAAACAGGGCAAGATTCAGTAGTATCCCAAATATTATAGTTGTGATACTTCATTTTGCCTTAGGAAGAATACGATAGAATTTTATCTAAAAAACAAGTGATCTTCTTATTTTTACTTCATTTTAGGTTTATTTATTTATCTCTTCTATGAGAGAGAAAAAAAAAAGAGAGAAAATCCCCAACAGAGTCCTCAAGCCATGGTTTATCCCTAATCCAGGATAGCTGGATCACGGCACACATGTACTCAAGGAGTTTCTAGGGCACAAACCCAGGATATTTTCCATCTGTCCAGTTGCACCACCTCCGTCACCTGTCCTTACAAAGGTTGCTAATTAAGATTACACAAACTTGAGTAAATCTTCCAGAGTTATGCTTCTAAAAAGATAGAAATAACAATGTACCATATAAATCTTTGTATGAACTTTGGTTTAGATAAACCCAAGTGGTAGTACTCCTAAAGCTTAATTAATGTTAAAGTTAGTTTGGAAAAAATATACTTTAAAACTTCTCAAAGGTGATTATTTCTTAAACATGGAGTTCTGCAGTTATGTTTTACATTATGTAAAACACTCAGGTTAGTTTATATAATCATTTACTATTATATACTAACTGTAGAATAATTACTTGTCTCTTATAGAAAGCGAGCCAAAGATCTTGAAGAAGAATTGGAGAGAACTATTCATTCTTATCAAGGGCAGGTGTGTGTGTGTGTAACTTATACACAGTTTGTTTAAGTTGATGGAGAAATATAACTACTGACCAGTTATATACCTTACTTGAGATATCGCATGTGGCTATGGAACATTTCCAGGAAGCTAAAGATTCTGAGATAAGAACTCTTAAAGTTGCCATGTGTCCCGAAGATGCTACTTTGGGAATGTAGATTGTATTGCATAAATACACATATATTGAAATAAAGACAAAGCAGCATTGGTTCAAGCTTTTATTTGTATACTGGCATCATATTTAGTCAGGCTTATTACCTGATACTTGGCAGCTCTCATTATAGTTAATTATTGTATAAAGTATAAGTTTAATAGACAGTTTTTTCTTAATTGCCAGAGGGCGTGTGTACTTTCCAGAGACAGAAGGAGGAGGAGATAGCATCCTCCATGGGGCATGGTCATACCTCAGTCCCTTTGGGGCACGCTTACACGTACACCATCATGTTTATCAAGCCCCCGGCACCAGGACTGGAACCGTGGTTGTTCGTGAGGAATCTGGTTTTCCTTAACAACTGGGCTATGGTATAGGCCCTAGATAAAACTTTGATTGTTTTTATATTCAGTTTTTATTTTAAAAGTATCATAGAGAAAGTAAATCATGTGTACATAAAAATTTGCTTTAAAATATTATTTAACAACTCTTCAAATATGCTTAGGGTATTTTTGAGCTCATGAGTTAAATGCACTAAATCATAGTGGTATTTGTGATTTTTTAAAAAATAAAATAGTCATCACTGGTATTTTTTATAACTTTCTTTTTCAGATTATGTCCCATGAGAAAAAAGCACATGATAATTGGGTAAGTCTTAAATTTTTTAAAAGATTTTTTGTCAAACTGCTTTTTTCCTTTCAGAAGATACTCTGCTCACTTATATTAGGTGCAAATAAAGATAGTGTTTTAAAAAATCAGTTTCTTTTAAGGAATTTTTGTTTTACTAGTAGAAAACTTATGTTCTTTTGAACTAATGCTTATTCAACAGTTATTCACAAAATTGAATGTTTCCTTCTCTGTTTTCAGTGCATTGCTTCTTGGTTGAAAGGAACTTCCACTCTCTTTGGGAGGGGTGATAAAGATTTTCCTAGATTCGTGTTTTAGGTGACTGGATTGCCACTAATTAGTTGTGGACAAGCTATGCAAATTCTCTGGGCTTATTTGCCTATTTGTAAAACAGTTGGATTGGATTTAGTGATATCTAAAATACCTTCTAGTTCTAAAAGTCATACAGTCCTTTTATCTGATTTTTCAGTGTTGAGTTACTTGATACATATAGAAAAAATCATTATGAGAAATATTAATAGTAGGGCCTTGCTTTAGAGGAACTGTATGAAGAAGTGAGAAAGTTGCAAATTTTGGCTGATTTTAGGAAACAATTCTCTAACATGTATATTACTGTTGTAATAGCCGCCCTTTGTAGTGCTTGTCACTAGCTGTCTTCAAAGGGAGGTGGTTAGCACAGTTAGTTACTATATGGGATCTGGAGTCAGCTTGTCTTGGTATCCTGCTTTCATTACCTACCACCAACTTCCTAATCTTTAAGATACAGCGAATATCTTTTCATAGGGTTATTGTAATGATTAAATGGTTCATGTAAGATTGTTGCTAAGTGCTGACAAACATTCAGTGACTTTTAACTGCGATTTTTGTTGTTGTTATTCTGAAGATGGGTAGATATTTCTAGGACATTGTAGAGTGAGTGATTAAGTATGTTGAATGCAAGATCCTTTCCACTTCCAAGATTCTGTATGTTTTAATATTGAGGAGTCAAGTGAAGATTTATATTGAATTAAGCTGGTCTTGAAGATGAAGTTAGTCTTCTTCACTACTTCTTACAGCTTTTAAAATACTTAGATGCAGATTAATTTTTAAAGACAGAGAAGATGTTTATTAAAGTCTCTTGTGCTCTAGGAACTGTACTTAAAGGCATTTTACATATATTACTCATTCATTTAACTCAATAACTCTATAAAATAGGTATTATAACCCCAGATTTACAGATGAAGAAATAGCCCAAGGTCACATGATTAGGAAGAAAATGGCAGAGACTGATATTCTTATCTTACAGATTCTAAGTCTTACACATTTTTTTTGTTACTGTACATCGAGTGTCTTGTTAAGTAAATATGAAACTGCCTTTCAGTGGGACAAGCAGATAGCATAATGGTTACATTGCTGGACTCCCACATAGTTGACTGCGGTTTGAGTCCCAGAACTGGTTGCTTAAAACTCACGCCAGGGGGACCAGCAGTTAGTGTAATAGCTATGTCACAGGACTCCCATGTAGTCGACCGCGGTTCGCATCTCAGACCTGGTGGCTTAAAACTCACGCTGGGTGCGTGTGCGTGCATGCCCAAGATCCCGAGAGGAGAATGGAGGAGAAGGGATTGTGGCGTGGCCATCCCCCCTGGTGGGTGATTTCTCGCTTTCTGTCTCTCTGTCTCTGTCTGTCTGGCGAGCGCATGCGCCCTATAGCAAAAACCTCTCAAAAAAACCCAAAAAAACCAAAACAAAAACACCTCACACCAGGCATGTGTGCATGCCCAAAATCCCAAGAGGAGAATGGAGGAGAAGGGATTGCAATGTGACCATCCCACTCGGAGAGTGATTTCTTGCTTTCTGTCTCTCTATGGCTTTCTGATGGGTGCACGCACCCTATAGCAAAAAATTTCTCTCTAAAAGGAAAAAAGAAAAGAAACTGACTTTCAGTTAAAACATGCAGAAAATAATATCCTTGATGTCTGAGTGATGATACATTTTACAGATTTTATAACATAATACGTATTAAAAGTTTAAACCATATGGAAAGTTACAAACTACCACTTTATCAGATACTTTTTCGAATACATTTGGACACAAAAGCATGTTTACTTAGTGTAGATTTATTTTTAATGAGTGTTTCATGATTTATAAAAACCTTTATTCGATATTCTTTAGTTGTTTGCTTTTTTACCTTTATAATGTCAGATAGTACTTTTTTCATTGAATATTTCTTAGTTCTATCTTAATTAGATTTATTCTTTTCTTCTTTTGAACTCATGTAGTACTTTGCTTTTATGTGTCCACTGTGGAAGGTATCCTAGTCTTTGCTGTGGTCATTTATATTTGTCCTTACCAAAAGATTTAAGTTCCATAAGAATAAGAGCTATTTTTTTTCCCTTTAATACTTGTGTGTAGCAGAATGCTTTGCATATTCTAAGTATTTACTATTTGAATACAGAGTTTTATAGCACTGTGAAATTGCAGTTTTACCTATCTTTTGGGTAAAGCTTTTCAAAAATCTTTAATCACTTCCCATTGATATATATATAATGTTGTTAATTAAATTAAGAGTAAATATGGTATACTGTAGTGTACTGAAAGCATTTAGGAGTAATTTTGGCTCTGCATTGTTAGCAATTAAATGAGTTTATATGTTTTATGAACTAAAATTGTTATTGGTGTAACATTCTTTTTTTGTTAGTACAAAATTGATATGATGACATACTGGAAAAATATAGATTCAGTCTTTTTTGATAGCAAATGCTAAAATATATTTAAATTATTTTTATGTATATAATTTATTCTGTGGCCAGTTAAAGTCAGTTAGTATTTATATATTTTACATACTTTTTTTTGGCCAGTTGTGTGGTTCACAATTTTAAGTGAACACAAATCTGATAATGTAGTACCTTTTACTTATACAAAATTATGGCTATAGACTAAGTCAATTTACCTACCTTTGTATGATAGATAGATTTACCCTAGTGGATTGCATTAGTTTGGCCAGTCTGCAGCGTCCACAGGAAGACTGGGAGACGTGCAATATATGGTACAAGCTTAACCTTTGACCACAGCTGTTTGGAGATATTTTATGTTCTTGGTATTCAATGTAAGGTTTGTTTTCTACAACACATATACTCTGATTTGTTGTTGTTTTTAGTTTTTTTTTGTTTTTTGTTTTTTTGTTGTTGTTGTAGGGTACTCACATTCACCAGAGAGAGACAGAAAGAGAGAGAACGTGAGAAATCACTCTCCAGAAGTAATGGCCACACTGTAATCTCTTTTTCTCCAGTCTCCTCTCTGGATTTTGGGCACATGCACATATGTGTGGTATGGTTTACACGCTGCTGGGTCCAGAACTTGAACCACACAGTTAGACATGTGGAGTCCAGTGCCTTAACCTCCATACCACCTACTGTCCCTGCACTCTGACTTTTTTTTTTTTGGAGAGGTTTTTTCGCTATAGGGCGTGTGCGCTCGCCAGACAGACAGAGAGAGACATAGAGACAGAAAACGAGAAATCACCCCCCAGGGGGGATGGTCACGCCGCAATCCCTTCTCCTCCATTCTCCTCTCGGGATCTTGGGCACGTACGCACACGCGCCCGGCGTGAGTTTTAAGCCACCGGGTCCGGGACGTGAACCGCGGTCGACTACATGGGAGTCCAGCGACATAGCCATTACGCTAACTGCTGGTTCCCCCTGCACTCTGACTTTTAACCTTTTATTTTATTACATAAAAAATAGCATTAATGGGGACTGGCAGGTGGCGTGGTGATTAAGGACACCGGACTCCCACAAGACTGACTATGGTTCAAATCCCAGACCTAGCAGCTTGCTTTCTCACTTTCCCTCTCTCTTTCTCTGATCCAATTTAAATAATAATGATAATGATAATAAATAAAAGTTAAATAACATAATTCTTTGGAAAAAAATAGTGTTAAGCAAATACAAAAGACTTAGAGTAATATGATTTGATGATGCTTATACTTTTTATTTATTTATTTCTTGTGTTTTTCTTATATATTTTACTTATTTTTCCCCACCCTTGACTTCCTCCCTCTCACCCTCAGATGTGCCATGTCATTGATTATATTCTGGTATTCCCCCAAAATGACCTATACTGCCATTCTGGGAAACTATTTGAGACTTTATGGTTTCACAAAATAATAGTGATTTTTCTCCAGAGATGATTACCTTTTTCCATAGCCAGTGCTGCCATGAATAGTGAGTGACCTGTGGTCTCCATTCCCATGGTCCTGAGCTTGAGTCCTCTTACATAGCTCCTATCAAGTTATTTGGATATTTACAGCACCAAATAATGCTCCTCATTGGTTTCACATCTGATAGCAACATTCATTTACAAATACATGATTAAGTGCCAGCTTTAACTCATTCTTTTTAAAAAATAATTCCCTTATTTGTAACATAAATGCTTTACATTGAGCTTACTGAATTGGATACTTAAGTGACTGTGATATTGTATGCCATCATTGTGATATTTCTGCTTATTTTTCACCTTAATTTTATATAAATGCATTTTTAAAGTGTATTATTTTCTTTAAGTTGGCAGCTCGAACTGCTGAGAGAAATCTCAATGATTTAAGGAAAGAAAATGCTCACAACAGGCAAAAGTAAGTATCCTAGTAGAAATATTTTAAAAACTGTAGTTGCTACATTTATTGCTAGTTGTTATTTTAGTAATACTTTTCTAAGAATAAATAAGAAAACTTGCAGTGAATCCAGAGTATTATGTGGAATATCTATTAATTTTAATAAGAGTAGTTATTCTTGTTTGAAACACTTGTTTTAGGCCACTAAAATGGCACTTGAAGACCACTGTTCACAGATTCTGCTGTAAAAAGAATAAGTTAAAAAAATTTTTTTTGTAAATAGCATAGGTAGAAGAAGTTAGAAGGGATGGAAAGAGAAAGTATGAATCATTGTCATAGTAATGCTCCGAGTATCAGAGTTTTTTTAATGGAGTAGATAGAATAAATGTTTATTATCTCTCATCTTCAGTGCCATTATTTTATAAAAAGAGAATGAAAGAAGAATAAGTGTATAAAGGGATGCTTTTTTATGAGGATGGTAACAGTCTTCTTAGAGTATTATAATTTCTTGCCAGAGTGTACTTTTTTGTTTGTTTGTAACAATAATTTTACTTAACTTTATTTATTTATTTGTTCACATTTGACCAGAGAGGGATAGAGAGAGAGGAAGAGAGGAAGGAATATTTAACTTTACTTTAATTTGACTGCCCGAATGTACTGTTAATGTACAATATTAGTTTTAGTCTTACTTGTCTTTTCTATTCTCAGAAATTAAAATTAACTGATTAAATGTCTTATTTCAGATCTGGTGATCAAGAATTAGAAATAAAACTGTTTTAAGATGTTACCTTTTTTTTTTTTCTTTTTTTAAAGAGGTTTTTGCCTTTGGGCACGTGTGCTTCCTGAAGAGAGAGAGACAGAAACAGTGAAAGGGAAAGTGAGAAATCACCCCCCAGGAGGCATGGCCATGCACACACACGTGCCTAGCTGATTTTTAAGCTACCACATCTGGGACTTGAACCATGGTTGGCTATGTGGGAGTCATTGATGTAACTGCTCTGCCATCTGTTGACCTAGCATGTCAGCATGTCACATTTTTAAGAGAAGAAGCTTAAGAATAAAGTAAAAAAAAAAAAAAAAAAAAAAGAATAAAGTAATAAGGATAAGTTAATGGGATTTCCAATTTTATGTAATGATGGAACTCATGGTTTACATTACAGTGAAACACATTTATGATTTAGAGCCAGGAACTCTGTGTTAATGCTGGCACTTATATTTTCAGTAAATAATTTAAATTCCTAGTCTGTTTCCTTTGTTGTAAAATGATAGACTTGTACTTGGAACATTGTAAGGCCTCTTCTATTTCAAAACTTTGGATTCTGTGATACAGCACTTACCATGGTATAGTTTCAAAGAAGAAAAACAATTCTAAACCTTAGCAAAACATTATTATCCCTTAGTAACAAGAAATGTTTAAGTTATACCAAAATATGTAGAGGGATATATAGAAAGGTATTTTGGTCAGAATAATTTTAGAGGATCTGTTTCTCTCATGAAGATGTTGACATAGTGAATAATAGTTTGTACTTGGCGGCATTTTTCTTGGAATGTGGGTACTTCACTTGGAAAAATAACTTAGAAATGTTTGTTCTTTATTTGCAGATTAACTGAAACAGAGTTAAAATTTGAACTTTTAGAAAAAGATCCTTATGCACTTGATGTTCCAAATACAACATTTGGCAGAGGTAGTTTTTAAATTTTTAATCCCTCATTTAAAAACATACTATTATGTATATATGTTGCACATATAGTTTACATTAATGTAAATTAACACTAGTATTTTAAAATATTTTATATTTTGGAGTCAAGGTTCAACTCTAAGTTCTCTCACAAACTCCCAAGTTTCTGGGTTTTGTTTCCATAGCAGCAGTAAAACTTATTGCTGCTTCCTTTTCTCTGTGGGATTTTGTAAGATGGTATATATTTAACATCTTGAGCTCTTTGGAAAGGGAAGTGATTGGCATATAGTAATGTACTCCTTAACTGTTTTTTAGGAGAATGAAAGATTAAGGTTTGTTTCAGTGGTATAACATTGCAACTGTTTACATTTTTACTGTACTTTAGGGAATTTGCTTGAATTAGAAAAATAAGAATTAAAATAGTCACTTTTTAATTATTTAAAAATATTAACTTAAAAGATGAGAAAAACAATCTGAATTTTGATTGCTTTAGGTATCCCAAAGGGAGGACCAATTTTTTGTAGATGTGTTTAATATTTCTGCCCATTCTTTGTCAAATTAGTATCTTTAATCTCAGACTATTCCAAATAGTTTAAATTTTTGAAAATAATTTTGGTCAAATTGGAGCTAAGCTTCTGAGTCAATGAAAATAAATCTGATTTTATATAGGTAAAGTTGCATTTTAATAACATTTAGAAAGGTATAAATACTACTATTGAAGGCCATATTTGATTAAAATGAGACTATCTATGTCTTCATTAAAAAAAAAACAGATATATATGAATCTAAAGTAGTAACAAAATTTGGAGTGGGGGGGAAGCATACAAAATGAATTTTTGTTGGAACCCAATACTAAAGTCCCAAGGAGGATAAATAATGCTTTTTCCCCCCTGTAACTGATATATGATTAGCTACATTCAATACAAATTAATCTGTGTAAAAGGTACATTTTGGTGGTGTTAAAGTTTGCTTGTTTTGGTGGTGTTTTTGTTTATCTTTTGCAGTGTAGTTATTATTTGGGAATGGTAAAGTTTGTAAAATGATAAGGCTCTTATTTATATGAATTATAGATTAAGTGATTTATTTGATGAGTTAATGTGTATAAATGGACTTTTTACTAGTAAAGTATCAAAAGTAATTTCTGAGGATTCAGAGTATATTATATGTTTTTCTACTTTCAACTTCTGAGCTTTATTCAAATAATTCATGGCCCAACACAGTCTGGCTGTTTTAAAATCGAGCACTTCCGTGTTGTTACCCTCACCAGCTGAAATGTCTGGAAGCATACTGCCATTAAAGCCAAACCAAACAGACTTCATGTCCCTCCTTTAATTCCAAAGTATATCAACAGTATCCTTGGCTTAATATGTATGATTAGTTAAGTGTATTAATTATCAAGAGGATAATATTTTTATTTACTGTGTATTTTGTAGACAAACTTTTAAAATGCTGGGGTCCATATTTAATTATATCATATATTAGCAAAAACTAAAGGCATAGTTAGAGTCCAGGACCTGGATTAAATATAAATTGGTAATACGGTGACCTGATGGTAATTGCTGAAATGGAGTTCTAACTCTATAGTGTAGCTAACTGAAACAATGAATTTAAATATGCTGTTTTAATTATTCCAGAGCATTCCCCATATGGTCCCTCACCATTGGGTCGGCCTTCATCTGAAACGAGAGCTTTTCTCTCTCCTCCAACTTTGTTGGAGGGTCCACTCAGACTCTCACCTTTGCTTCCAGGGGGAGGAGGAAGAGGTATATTGTTTAAACATCTTTATTACTCTAGATTTCTTCCTTACTCTATATTTTCATCTCAATCTACCTTTAAAATGATTTGTAAAATAAACATTTGGAAAATACAGGCATTCCTTGTACTTATTGTTGGATTTTTTTCTTTTTTTCAAAAGGAGTTCGCTAATATATAATTTTAATATATTTTTCTCTTAGAAACAGTGTTATGCTAGATTACATTTTGGTCAAGGACTTGTATATTTTTTAATTGCATATTTTTTACTAAAGCAGTATATTATATAGAACTTTATAAAGAATACATAAAAATATTGGGTTGTCGGAAAAGTCATGATGCATTTTTGCATAGAAAAAACAGAAAAAAAAAAGTCATGACTTTTCTGACGGCCCAATACAATAACAGTATATAACCTAGAAAAAAATTATATTTTGGCGAAACATTATTAGAAGTTAGAATTTTTTATACCCTTTTTTTCCTTTTATTATTAAGATCTTTTTATTGTTGAAATTTAAAAAGTGAAAACTTTTTTTTTTTTGAGTCAAGCAATTTAAAAGTGATCTTAAAACAGAGTTCTGATAGAAACTTTCAAGGATACCTAAATTAATTTGTTAATCTTTGAGAAACTAACCAAGGATTGTCTGCTTTGTTCTCCCCTTACATGTTTCTGAGATTCTCATAGCCAGCTCAAGCCTAAGCATTAGCTGTTGATCTTTCTACATTTACCTCATCAGCATCACCTGTGTGTTACAAAGTGCTCTAGTTTCTTTGAAAATGTCCTTTTTTTAACTCTCTCATCATTCTTTTTTTTGTCAAGTTGCTTTAAAGTTTTCCTTTCCTAAAGTTTATGGCAAAATTTCAAGTGTAGAGGCCTACTTATTTCCAAATTAAAAAATCTATGATTTTCGGTTTTGAGTACACGTTTTAGAAGAACTGATGACATGGGACCAGCAGATGGAATAATGGTTATGTTGCTGGTCTCCCACAGTTGACTGCGATTTGAGTCCCAGTCTGGTGGCTTAAAACTCACGCTGGGCGCACATGTGTGCGTATGTGCGTGTGCGTGTGCGTGCATGCCCAAAATCCAGAGAGGAGAATGGAGGAGAAAGGAATACGTTGTGGCCATCCCCCCTAGGGGTGATTCCTTACTTTCTGTCTGGCGAGCGCACATGTCCTATAGCAAAAGTCTCTCTTTTTTTTAAAGAAGAGCTGATGACAGTCTTCAGCACCGAAATATCTCCATCCTCTGTATCAGTGATTTTAGCAGATTGAATGTGACAGTAGGAGCATAGAGAATGAGACTGAATAAAACATGAAACTAAACCCAACATACCAAAGCTCGTAACAACCACTTGGATATTACTTATTTGACTAGTCTCTCAGGGATCTTTGGATTTCTCAGATGAAGCTGCCATTATTCTAAATATTTTGTAACAGTCCTTTAAATTTGCCTTCAAAGAATGTGGTAAAATTAATTAATTTTATTGTAATGAGATACTTTCCTTTTGCCTGTATCTTGTTCGTATACCCATTCTCCATCCTTGGTTCATTCCTCTTAGAATTGTTCCTTTGTCTCTCAGTCCCCCATAGATTGGGCCCATAGCCTGGGGTCACTTTAGAGAGAATGTTTGCTTGTGTTGATTTTGAAGTATTAATAGAAGTTCCCAGAGTAAGGGACTGTATTGCAGACAGGTACTCGGAGCCTTAGGGGAACTTTGCATGGAGCACTCCTTGAAGGGACTCATTTGAAATTTACATGTCTGCTATAAACTTAGGGCTTAGTGCTCTAAGTACATTTTTCCAACTTTTTTTTTTTTAACCTTGATTTACACTAACAAATATGTTTTGATCATCGAAATCAGTTACATGAAATAGTGTTTACCACTACAGTCTTGATGACTTCTGATATTTCTATTTTATTAAAAAATGCTGATTAAGATGAAGTCAATTTCACTTACCACAAATGAGTAGTAGTTACCAGTCTGGAAATCAGTTCCCTAGGAATAAGAATGTAGTTGGCTAAACTGCAAATGTGAATCATTGGTAACTTAATGACATAAGTCAAGGATTGCTTGTAGTCAATTAAATATTTGGAATAAGAATAAAAATTACCTTTAATTTCTCCTCTCCTATTTAAATTACTTTCCTCTTCCTATTTAATTGCTTTCAAAGTACAGTGTGTTTAGACTACTTACAAGGATGTTTTGCTATGCATTTTAAAAAGCCACAAAGTTTGAGGTAAGTAGTCAGCAGGCCTTGGTTTGGGCAGAAAAATTCTATAATGTACCAAAGAAGGATGAAGAATGCCTTTCTTTTTATTTCCTTATCTTTTTAAAATTGAAAGTTTGTATAAGACAGGTCTCAGATAAGATTGACTATCAGGAAAACAGGTTTTTTTTTTTTAGAGTAAATTGTATATAGTTTTCAGTCTGAATGAAAAACTTTAACCTTTAGTATTTTCAGATCTGTAGTTTTCACCTAGTAGTGGTTGGCCTATAGCTTTGGTCCTCTGGAATTAAGCAGCTGGGAGAAACCCTTTGAATGTTTCCTTTAAAGCTCTGTTCTTCAGTCCAGATGGACTCCACCTAACTGACTCCAGCTCATTTTCTGCTTGTGCAGCTTTCTCCTAATAAACTAATTAGAAGGATGAACAAGCTAGAAGAGAAGATTTGGGGCATTTAATAGAATATGCAACCATAAAGAAAAATAGTAATTGAACTTCTGACATAAGTTGATCTCTTTACTATACAAAAGAAAGTCAATAGAAAAAAATTTTTTTAAAGATTATATTTTTGGACCAGCAGATGGTGTAATGGTTACATTGCTGGACTCCCATGTAGTTGACCACGATTCAAGTCCTTGACCTGGTGGCTTGAAATTCACACAGGGTATGAGTGTGCCCAAGATCCCAGAGGAGAATGGAGAAGAAGGGATTGTGGTGTGGCCATCACCTTGTGTGGGGGTGGGGGGAGGGGGTGATTTCTCGCTTTCTGTTTCTCTTTCTCACTCTGTCTGGAGAGTGCACACTCCCAATGGCAAAAATCTCTTAAAAAAAAAAAAAGGAAAAAAGATATTTTCAAAAATGAGTGCTTATACTGATTTGTACAAGTTACCAAGAAAAGATCAAATTAATTTTTGTCTCCTTTTTTAAAGGAGGTACTAAAAATAGGGAAACATTTTAGAAATACTTCGTTTGAAAAAAAAATTTTTTTAAAAACTGTTCATTAAAAGGAATAAGCTTTTGTTTTCTGGACAATATAATTTTGACAAGGCCTCATTCCCCACTTATGACAGATAAATTGAGATAGTAATATATATTGTAATTGAATATTAAAATATTTTTTGTATTTGTCTTTTCCATTTGAATTAGATATGGGCTTAGTTAAGGTACTGTTCTTTCTCTGTCATAATTAGGGAACTATAAATGATTCTCCCTTCTATAAATATGATTATTAGATTTCCTTATCTGAATGAATGTTGTCTTGTTTAAAATGTTTAACAGTGCTGTTATTTTGAAAACTCTTATTTTAGACCTGGCTTCAGAGCTTGTAAGTTCTTTTTAAATGTGAATTTGATATTTAGAAATGACTAAAAGCCATATTTAGAGCCAGTTTATCTGACAGTATGGTTTTTTATTTTTAGAGGGTTTTTTTTTTTTTTGGCTATAGGGCACATGCGCTCGCCAGACAGAGAGGGACAGAGAGACAGAAAGCTAGAAATCACCCCCCAGGGGGGATGGCCATGCTGCAATCCCTTCTCCTCCATTCTCCTCTTGGGATCTTGGGCACGCATGCACATGCGCCTGGCGTGATTTTAAGCCACCAGGTCTGGGACGCGAACTGCGGTCAACTACATAGGAGTCCAGCGACATAGCCATTACGCTAACTGCTGGTCCCAGTATGAAGTTTTTAATCAGGAAAAAGTCATTTTAGGGCAGAGGTGAAGAGTCACATAACACTGATAGGCAGATTTTTATGTGACTCTTAAATTAATCTGAATACATTTCCAAAAGAATTTTGTTTGTTTATTTATTTATTTTAAATTTTTTTTTTTTTTTTTAGTAATTGCCACAGGGGCACAAGTGCTTGCAAAAGAAACAGAGGGGGAAAAAGCACCCTCTGATGGGGCAGTGGTCACACTGCAGTTCTATCTTTGCCATTTCTCTCTCCTGTTGGAGTTTTCAGCACATATGCACACCCATCCACCATGTGTTTTAAGTTGTCAGGTTGGGATTTAAACTGCATTTGGCCATGTGGAATCTGCTTCCCTCAACCAGTAAGTTATAGGGTTGGCTCCCCTGAAGAGTTTTTAAAAAAATGTTTTGAGGGGCCAGCAGAGGGTGTAGTCATTAAGGTGCTGCTCACAGATGGCCTACTGCAGTTTGAGTCTCAGACCTGGTGGCTTGAAAATCACACTGAGTTTGTATGGGTGCATGCCCAAAATCTCAGGAGGAGAATGGGAGGGAAGGGATTACATTGTGGCCATACCCACTGGAGGATGATTTCTCACTTTGACTCTGTCTCTGGTGAGTGTACCCACCCTATGGCAAAAATCTAAAAATCAAAACAAAACAAAACAAAATTTTGAGTAGTAACAAAATTATTGAAATAGATAGATAGCTCCAAAGATGCTCATTTTAAAAGAATCGTATTCATTTTGACTATTGATATATTAATATTTTTTTTAATTTTTAAGTTTTTTGGATAGGTTTTTGCTGTAGGGCATGTGTACTTGCAAGAGAGACAGAGAGAGACAGAGAGATAGAAAGCGAGAAATCACCCCCCTGGGGGGGATGGCCATGCTGCAATCCCTTCTCCATTCTCCTCTCGGGATCTTGGGCACACTCACACACCCGGCGTGAGTTTAAGCCACCGGGTCTGGGACTCGAACCGTAGTCGACTGCATGGGAGTTCAGCGACATAGCCATTACGCCAACTGCTGGCCCCAATATATTAATTTAAGCAACAAAAACCTCGTTTTATAATTACCTATTATATCATGTATAGAAATGTACTTTGCAGTTTACTTTCTGTACCCTTATTTTTTAATTTAGTATTTTGAATTCATAATTTGACCACAGTATAAAATTAATGTATAAAATGATGATGATAATAATTTAAAAATGAACTTTATAGGCAAGTGTGTATTTATGTATATGGATGGCTAAATTATATTTTCTTTGTCTTAGAAATGGCTTTGGTAGGGTAGAATTATAGTTTAAATATGACTTAGGGAAACTGTTGGAATCTGTTTCTTTTACTTTTTAAAGACTCTCTTGATTTTATTTGATGCTAGGTTTATGATATTTAAGATAAAACATAAATTGTATATTTTATTCTTTGATTAGGTTCAAGAGGCCCAGGGAATCCTCTGGACCATCAGATTACCAATGAAAGAGACTTGACCTCTGATAGGTTAACTGATCCTCACAGAGCACCTTCTGACACTGGGTCCCTGTCACCTCCTTGGGAACAGGACCGTAGGATGATGATGACTTCATCAGGTAAGAGTACTTATCATTTATACGGAAGGCAGCCAGTATGGGGGACATGTAGAAATAGAAGAAAAGAGGAGTATATGTATGCTTTGCCTTAAGAAAAGCCATGATTATCTTGGGACCAGCAGATGGTGTCATGGTTACGTTGCTGGACTCCCACGTAGTCAACCCCTGTTTGAGTCTCAGACCTAGCAGCTTAAACTCATGCTGGGCACATGTTCATGTGTGCCTAAGATCCTGAGAGAAGAATGGAAGAGAAGGGACTGTGGCGTGGCCATCTCCCCTGAGGGGTGATTTCTCACTTTCTGTCTTTCTGTCTTTTCTGGCGAGTGGACATGACCTATAGCAAAAATCTCTCTTAAAAAAAAATAAAGAAAAAGAAAAACCATAATTATCTTTTAGAAAATAACAATAACAGTTATCTGAGCAGAATAACTAGAGGTAATTGTTTACCTACAGAAAATAGTTATCTCCCTCTGCCAAATAGAATGTCTGTATTGCTTTTAGACTTAATACATGTTTATTTTAGAAAACCCAAGCAACGTAGAAGTGTATAACCAGAGAAGTGAAAAATTCTTCTTACCATCTTAGAATGCCCTTCTCAGAAGGTAGCTATAATATGCTTTAGGACTTTTTTTTTTCTTTTTGAGTTTTAGAAACGGGGGGTATTCAAGTTCTTTCATTGTTCTTTTCTGTATACCATTCACCTTCTGTTGTAATTGTCTGTTTTAATCAAACAATATATCTTACCAAAATAAATGTGTAAATCTTAGATCTCTTACCAAAATAAATATATGTACCAGAAGAGTTAAGGCACTAACTGCTATGCTTCTAACAGCCTTAACCTTCCCAAGGGATATGTTTAAAAATTACTTCATTTACTAATTTTATTTTTTTAAGAGAGATTTTTTCTACAGGGCATGTGTGCTCACCAGAGAGAAAGCAAGAAATCGCCCCCAGGGGTATGGCCATGCTGCAATCCCTTCTCCTCCATTCTCCTCTTGGATCTTGGGCATGCACACACACGTGCCAAACATGAATTTTAAGCCACCAGGTCTGAGTCTCTAGCCACGGGTTGACCACTTGGGGATCCAGCGACATAACCATACACCATCTACTGGTCCCATTTTGTTAAAATTTATTTATTTATTTTAATTGCCAAAGGATGCATGCACTCACCAGAGACACAAAGAGAAACATCCTCTCCCCCCCAGTGGGGCACTATTGCACTCTAGTCGTTTTTTTCTCCATTTCTCTGTCCCATCAGGATTTTGGATAGACTCAAACATGTGTGTGGCATGCTTTTCACACTGCTGGGACCAGGATTGAAACCACAGTCAGCCATGTGGGATTTGGCTCCCAGTGCACAGCACTTAGCCGCTGGACTGTGGGGTCACCCTCCTAAACTTTCACCTATACACTATGTTTCAGATATATTGTTATGTAAAGTGAACCATGCCTACTTTGTATAGTTATATTTAAAAAAAAAATGGTACTTTAGAGTCCTTGGAAAGGTAAGATTATTGTGTTAAAAACATTTAGTTCCAGAATTAGCCTTTGCTGTGGTAGTGTATATGTTCTATGAAGTGATGCCACCTTATGGTGTGGCTTTTCTTTGTTTGATATTACGAAAGCATCATCTTTGTAAGGGTATAGAGTTGTTCATTACTGTATTGCCAATACCCAGGGAAATATTTAGATCTGTAATAATTGCTCAGGAAACATTAGTTCAATGAATATTTAAATAATTATAAGAAAGCTAAGTGTTTTTGGGGACCAGCAGTTAGCATAATGGCTATGTCACTGGACTCCCATGTAGTCAACTGTGGTTCGAGTCCCGGACCTGGTGGCTTAAAACTCACGCCGGGCATGTGTGCGTGCGTTCCCAAGATCCTGAGAGGAGAATGGAGAAGGGATTGGGGCATGGCCATCCTCCCTAGAGGGTGATTTCTCGCTTTCTGTCTCTCTGTCTCTGTCTGTCTGTCTGGCGAGTGCACGTGCCCTATGGCAAAAACCTCTCCAAAAAAAAAGAAAGAAAGAAAGCTAAGTGTTTTTTTCTCATTGTTTTTATACGTAGAGATATATGTGCTATGACGTATAAACTTAAGGGATTTGAAAGGTAGTGATGCAGTATATCCTCAAAGACTCCTTGACTTCATTTAATGTTCATTAAAATGTATCTAGCCATGATAAAAATGAAGAGTAAAAAACTACAGTTCCTGTCTGAAAGGATGTGACTGCAGTATTTTGATAGAGATCGTATCTCTGCTTCTGGATAGATGACCTTCCTAGAGAAAATTCATAAGCTAGTCATACCAGGAGTCCCTGTCACATGTTCTCTGTCTCTACTACATTTATTTACTCTAGTGGTTCTCAGACTTGACTTGTCATTAGAAATAACCTAGACACCTTAAAGAAAAATGCAGATACCTGGATCTTGTCTCACCTCAGACTCGATCTTCTAAATATGATCTTTGGAGATGTAGACTTATTTCTGAAAAATTCCCAAGAAGATTCTGAGGGTTATCTAAATTTAAAAATCACTAATCTATCCATAGCCCTTAACTGTGGAGTATCAGAAGGACACTGAATCCCCCAAAAGATTAGTGACACTCTTAAGATAAAACAGTTAATTAGGTAAAAAAATACTTTAAAATATAATTCCTTTGATAGTTTTAAATGTGTAAAAAAACTTTTTTTTGGAGTTGGGTTTTTAAATAAGCCAGAGGGTACAGGCACTTGCTGGAAAAGAGAGAGAATGAGAGAGAGAGAGAGAGAGAGAGAGAATGAGAATCCTCCAGTGGGGCATGGTTATGTTGTAATTCCATCTGCATTTTTACATCTTGTTAGGATTTTGGGCATGCACACACATGCATCCTGGAGTGTTTTTCAAGTCATCAGGTCTGGGATTTAAAAAAAAAATTTAAAAGAATTATTTTATTTACTACTGTTACTATTTTATAAATTTGTGTTAGGACATGTATGCTCATCAGAGAGAGAAAGAGAGAGAAAGACAGAAAGGAAGGTGCCATGTCTAGGACTCAAGCTACAATTTGCCTCATGGTAGTGTAGCACCTCAACCACCATGCCACCTGCTGGCCCCATGGGCCTGGGATTTGAACCACATGTTGGCCATATGGGATCTGGCTCACTTAATCATTAGGCCATGGAACCAGCCCCCCCTTTTTTTTTTGAGAGGTTTTTGCTATTGAACCACGTGTTGGTTCATTAGGCCATGGAACCAGCCCCCCCTTTTTTTTTTGAGAGGTTTTTGCTATAGGGCATGGCATGTGCACTTGCCAGAAAGACAGAGAGAGAGAGAGAGATAAAAAGTGAGAAATCACCTCCCAGAGGGATGACTATGTCGCAATCCCTTCTTCTCCATTATCCTCTCAGGATCTTGGGTATGCACACACACGCGCCTGGCGTGAGTTTAAGCCACCGGGTCCTGGACTCAAACCGCGGTTGACTAATGGGAGTTCAGTGACATAGCCATTATGCTAACTGCTGGTCCCCCGAACTAGCCCATTTTTGTAAGCACTTTCAACTTGTTTGTGTTGGCTCATTTTTGTCTTTGATTTTTAATAGGAAAGTTAAATAGATAATGTCACTATTATTTATTAAATAAATAATGCCACTGTCCTGTAGATAACTACTAATTGCAGCTCAGGTTCTGATACATAGTTTGAAAGTAGTTGTTATAGAAAGATACAGTTGGTTAGTGGCTTTCCCAAAATAAAAGATTTAAAATATTAACTCTATATTTTTCATTTTAAGTATACTTTCAGGATCTGTGTGCTGTAGTTTCATTTTCATAATAATTTCCACTGAGGGGCCAGCAGGTGGTGTGGTTATTAGGGCACTGAATTCCCACATAGCCAAATGCAGTTTGAGTCCTGGACCTGGTGGGTTGCTTTTCCATTTTCTCTCTCTCTCTCTGATGAGCACGTGTCCTGTAGCAAATTGAAAAATAATAATAATAAATACAATTAAATAAATCTAAAAAAACCCCCCAAACCTTCCACTGAACGCTCTATGTTGCGATATTGGGATATGGCCACCTACAGTGGTCCAAAAGGTGGACATGCCGTGTAAGCCTGGGGCACGTGGGGGGCACAGGTCGGTGAACTGACCTGGACACATAGAGGCATTTCGCATTCACACTGCTCATTACAGTAGCCATTAGGCATATGTGGCTATTAAGCACTTCAAATGTCCCTAGTGCAACTTGAGAGACAACATTTTTTACTTTTATTTTTTTAACTCCTATTTTATTTATTTATAATTTTGCCAGAGGGCATGTGTGCTCACTAGAGACAGAGAAAGAGAAGTGAGAAAGCTCCCCTCATCCCCCGCCCCATGGGCGTAGCCATGCCATAATCTCTTCTCTTATTTCTCCTTTTGGGATTTTGATCATGCATGCTCATGCACATGGCATGTTTCTCAAGCTGCCAACTCCAGGATTTGAACAAAGTTTCATTGTTTTTTTAATGATTTTTCTCACTCTCTTGTGTTCTTGCCCTCAGTGCTCCTCTTCCTCTCAAATATTCCAACCACAGTGTCCTTTTATTCTTATGTCTAGTTTTACATCTTTTTCAAACATGGAGAAGTAATAGAGAAGAATAAAAAAATCTTAATCTTCAGCAAATCTCATACTATCTACAGTAGAGGGATGAGGATTAAATGGAATTATGGTACTTCTTCTCTTTATATATATTTTTAAGCTTTTATATTCTTAGTTTTAATTGAGAGAACAGGAAGTATATGGCATCTGTTCTTTTTTGTCAGTGCTTACTTTTACTAATTTGGATGATATGTTTTATGTAAGAAGTAGCAAAGAGACTAATCAACTGTACCTTGATGGTACAATCATGAATTAAGTTTAGTCTCCAGCTTCGAATGTTCAAAATCTTACATCTTTTTCACTTGGAAAGCTAAACAAGTATGAGACATGTACACCAAATTGTGAGGACAGTTTCAAATTGTACTTTGAGAAACAAAAGCAAGCTAAAGAAATCAAAATACCTTGGACAACTTTAGAAGCACAAGCATAGGTTTTTACTTTACTGGTCCTGATTTGTAGACATCTATGCAGGCATTATCCTTCTGCATTGGGAACATTCTTTTAGACAAGATTCACTTGGTGGAAGTATAGTTTTTAAATTAGGTTCATTTTGATCTCTCTAATGAAATTTTGGAGTCTTTGTAAAATTCATAAGATGTGCTGAAGTCTTCATCTATGCTTTTAATCTTTAGGGTGATAATTTTTATTATTATTACTATTATTGTTATTTTTAGAGAGATTTTTGCTGTAGGGTGCATGCGCTCTCCAGAGAAACAGAGAGAGACTGAGAGACAGAAAGTGAGAAATCAACCCCCTGGGAGAATGGCCACACTGCAGCACCTTTTCCTCAGTTCTCCTCTTGGGATCTTGGACATGAACGCACATGCACCCAGTGAGAGGTTTTTGCTATAGAGCGTGTGCGCTCACTAGAAAGACAGAGACAGAGAGGTAGAAAGCGAGAGATTACCCCCCAGGGGGTATGGCCACACCACAATCCCTTTTCCTCTATTCTCCTCTCGGGATCTTGGGTACGCATGCACATGCACCTGGCGTGATTTTAAGCCACCGGGTTCGGAACTTGAACCACAGTTGACTACATGGGAGCCCAGCAACAAAGCCATTACGCTAAGTGCTGGTCCCCCCACGTGTGAGTTTCAAGCCGCTGGGTCTGGGACTCTTAACTGTGGTCAACCATGTGAAAGAGAGTCCAGGGACATAACGATTAAGCCATCTGCTGGTACCCAGTATGATAATTATTTTAAAGTTGTCTAAATTGTAGGACTGTTAATTTTCTGGGATTGTGTATCTCTTAATCATGTGTTTCTTCTCATATAATTTTTTTTAAATAAAAGAAGTGTTTCATTGAACACTTATTAAAATATTTATTAAATGTTTATTTAATGTTTTTAAATGTTATTTAAAACTTAAATGTTTAAATGTTATTTTAAATATTTTATTGGACATTGATATAGTCAAGTGCAGACATTTCAAGTGTAAATTTAATTATATGTAACCCCGTTGTTAGGTGCTTTAAATAATCTAAAATGGCTTAATGATTTTTTATAAGTCCTAATAATTAGTATATAGTTGACAAATTATTGCTATATATGCTTATGTAAACCTTGAAACTTTGTTTTTGTCTCTTCCTGAAGAGAGTAGGTTGTGGGGAGGAGGTTAGGATGTAGGGGCAAATGTAGACAACTTTTTGAAGACTCTTGCTTTGAGTGAAAGAGAGAAATGATGGGAAAGTCATGGCTTATTTTTGCATAGGAGAAAGAAAGATAAGTGTTGACTTTACTGACAACCTAATAATAGCTTAGAAGGAGAAGTGTTTTTGTTTTTTAAAGATGGATAATACTATAGCGTATTTTTTTGCAGATGGCAATAATCCAGGAGAGAAGGAAAAATGAACTAGTTGCAGTGGTATGCCCCTGTAATTCCAGCTACTTGGAAGGCTGAGGCAGGAGGGTTGCAAGTTTGCAGCTAGCCTGGGAAACCTAGTGAGACCTTATTTTTCCTAGAAGAAACAAACAAGAGAAAATTAGCAAAGTCACACAGGTGCCGTAATCAGGAACCTGGGCATCAATCAAGACTCCTTCTTCCTTACCTCCCACATGCCCTCAACTCTAAATCCTCACGATTCTATGTTCTCCATGTCTACTCACATCTATCCCCTCTACTGAATCATCACCATCCTTCATGTGGAGTCCTTTCAGTCTCTTAAAATGTTATCCTGCCTCCAAGTGTTATCATTCCCTCTAATGTATTCTGCACAAAGCAACCAGAGAATTCTCTAAAATGCAGATGTGGTCACATTATTTTCTCTACTTTTAACTTTCTAATGTGTTTCTGTTATCATTAGAATAAAGTTCAAATTTCTGAACAGGGTTTGCAAGGCCTTGCCAAATCTCTACAGTGCTCACCTACCTGTGTCAATATTCCCTGACTCACACTCCATGTTGCAGATATAATTTACTTAGGCACCCTAAACTCTAAAGATACTATGCTCTCCTCCTGGAACATTATCATCATCATTTTGGTACAAGTAATTCCTCCTTTAATCCTTAGCTTATTTGTTACTTCCTCCATAGATCTTTCTTGACTCTCCATTCTTCTGGAGTTTGTTGTCTCTATTTCCTGCATCTCTGTTAGCTTTGTCACTATGAATATTTTAAATTCTTTATTTGACATTTCCATGAGTTCCCTTGAATTCTTTGTGGAGGGAGAAGAGTTAACTTCCACTAGAGGAGAGATATTTTCTTAATTTCCCATATTCCTTGTGCCTCTGCAGTAGTTTCTGGTCATCTGATGGATTATATGTTTGTTCCTATTTTTTGAAGTTAATTCTGAGCAATCAGAGGAATGCAGAAGGAAGTGACCTGCTGTCTGAATCCTGGCTAGACTGCAGAGCAGGAGGGCGAAGTCTTCAGTGGCCGAAATCCCTGAATGGGGCCGCTGAGAACTCAAATATCGATGGCTGCTGATTTGCTTATCCTGACTCCTGACTAGATGTCGGAGCAGGAGGGTGAAGTCTGGGCAGAGGGTCTTCGGTGGTCGAAATCTACCTTTTGTGCATTTCTTGACTCAGTGATCCTTCTCTTTAGTTTGGAATCAGTGCTAAATTCCAAAATGTTAAAATTACTGAAACTTTGACAACCAATTACCTATAAATAATACTCTTTCTAATTTGGTAAGAAATTGTTAGCTGTCCTTATAAATTTCTTGCTATGCTTACAACATTTTCTATTTTTTTCCTCCATGTTAGTAGCTACCTCCTCATTCATTTTTAGTATATCGATGTGCATTTTCATACCACTAGTATTATAATTGAAAGCAAAATGAATTTATGTACATCTAGGCATATAACTAATTGTTTTCCTAATTTATAATAAGCACAGTTATTGGAACTTTGAAAATCTGAAGTAGTAAATTATACTTATGTTTACTATAAAAGCCAAGTTATTGCTTATAATAAAATATGTAATTTTCTAAAGCTGTTCACCATTATCTGCCAAAAATATGTGTGAACCAGCTTTCCAGCAATCAGGAGAAATGATTAAGTTCAATAACTTAGAAATGCCTAAGTTAAACTTAAGTAAATATGACTTAAGTTTATATTAATTAAGGTGTCTTAAAATATTTTCATCTTTCTTTCCTAGGCCAGCCATATACTGATCCAGCTCTTCCTCCACAAAGACAAGACAGATTTTATTCTAATTCTGGTAGACTGTCTGGACCAGCAGAACTCAGGAGTTTTAATATGCCACCTTTGGATAAAGTGGGTAAGAATATTTGTATTCTTTTTTCTTTTTTCTTTTGAATATAACAGTGTCATACTGGAAGCTGAATAAAGGACTAATACAATTATTACCTTTGGAAACTCTTGAGGCTAAAATACTTTTCCTGCTTATTTACTGGTTTTTGTATCTTGTTGACATGGCATCTAAATATGTGGGTGGTAGGTTTTTTTAAAAATTTTTTTCTTTAATTTTTAAAAAATATTTATTTATTTATTCATTCATTCATTCCTTCATTTTAATTTGACCAGAGAGAGACACAGAGAGAGAGAGAGGAAAGGGAGAAAGCAAGCCACCAGGTCCAAGACTTGAACCGTGGTCGGCCATGTGGGAGTGTCCAGCGCCTTAACCACCACGCCACCTGCTGGTCACAACATGGCATCTAAATATGTGGGTAGTGGTTTGAACACCATAGTAATAGTAAGTTTCTAGTGTGTACCTATGTAAACTTTACTCTTTTTTATGACTAATTTTTTGATTCTTCCACTCTACTTAAATATAGCCTGCTTAGTAGGAAATTAGGCAGGCCAGAGAGAGGGAGACAGGGAGGAGGATGGGATGGGGGAGAGTGAGAAAGCACCCTTGAAGGAGGGTGGCCATGCCACAAACCCTACTCTTCAATTCTATTTCTCCTTGGGTGTGTGCTTGCTAGAGAGAGACAAAGAGAGAAGTGAGAAAATACCCCCAGAGGGGCTCGGTTTTATGCTGCGATTTCTTCTTCTCCCTCTCTCACTCCTTTTGGGATTTCGGGCATGCATTAGGCCCCCATTGTGTTTTTCAGGCTGCTGTTTTGAGGACTCAAACCATGCAGTTGGCTGTTCGGAATCCACCTGAACCACCAGGCCATGGGCTAGCCCAAAATAGATACTTAAAAAAAGAAAAAAAGATGATTTATTTACTTATTGCATGAGAAAAGGGGGGAGAGAGACACACAGAGAGAGAGAGAGAGACAGAGAGAGACACACACATCCCCAACAGGGTCTTCATACATGATCATATTTCTAGTTTCAGTCAGCCGGGATCCACAGCACATGTGTATGTGCCTGGGATGACAGAGAAATCTCAGTTCATGAATCCAGCATCTTCCCAATATGACCTCAGCATTAACTAGTGTTTAATTACTATTGTGCTGCTATTATAGCTGGCCAAAAGCATATGCTATTATCTTTTATTTTTATAGATGAAGAAACCAAGCCCCCAAAATTTTCAAAATCTCTAGTAGGAAATATCAGAGGCAGGATTTGAACCATTATCTGTCTGACTCCAGAGCTGTATTCTTAATTCCTATACTTAAGGAGAGAGTTGTACACCCAGTCCTCGATGAGCTAAATGTCTACTGACTGCCTAAACTGTCTGACAGGCATTATAGTAGTTGCTATATTTCAGTGTGCATAGGACTTAGAAACTCCACATTCCTTATATCCCAAGGTACAGTTAAGACCTAAAGGCACTTAACACTACAGAGTAACAATAGTTATGAGTACAAAATGTTATTGGAGCCTATGTGTGTTGATGTTTTGAGAATGGGATAGTCAAGAAAGATCTCTTGAAGGAAGTGATACGTAAGCTAAGGATTAAAGGAGGAATTACTTGTACCAAAATGATGATGATAATGTTCCAGGAGGAGAGCATAGTATCTTTAGAGTTTAGGGTGCCTAAGTAAATTATATCTGCAACATGGAGTGTGAGTCAGGGAATATTGACACAGGTAGGTGAGCACTGTAGAGATTTGGCAAGGCCTTGCAAACCCTGTTCAGAAATTTGAACTTTATTCTAATGATAACAGAAACACATTAGAAAGTTAAAAGTAGAGAAAATAATGTGACCACATCTGCATTTTAGAGAATTCTCTGGTTGCTTTGTGCAGAATACATTAGAGGGAATGATAACACTTGGAGGCAGGATAACATTTTAAGAGACTGAAAGGACTCCACATGAAGGATGGTGATGATTCAGTAGAGGGGATAGATGTGAGTAGACATGGAGAACATAGAATCGTGAGGATTTAGAGTTGAGGGCATGTGGGAGGTAAGGAAGAAGGAGTCTTGATTGATGCCCAGGTTCCTGATTATGGCACCTGCATGAATTGAGGGGCTGTCCATTTTTCTGAGACAAGGAACACGTTTTGCAAGAAAGATTATAAATTACATTCTGAATTTACAAAAGCAGCAGATTTGTGATAGACCTTGATGAATATTCAAGAAATCAGGTCAGCTCTCTCAGTCCTGTGGGAAATACCGGGACCCGAATTATAGCTAAGGATATCTTCATAGTATAATATATATCTGAATGAATCCATAGGAATAGATGGTATTTTTTTGGGGGGAGCGGAGAGGTTTTTCCTTTAGGGCGCATGTGCTCACCACTAACCAGAAAGATGGAGAGAGACAGAGAGACAGAAAGCAAGAAATCACCCCTTGGGAGGGATGGCCACACCTCAGGCCCTTCTCCTCCATTCTCCTTTCCGGATCTTAGGCACAAATGTACCTGTGCCTGGCGTGAGTTTAAGCCACTGGGTCTGGGACGGTTGACTCCATGGGAGTTCAGTGACATAGCCATTACACCAACTGCTGGTCTCATGAATAGATGGGATTTTTAAAAAGAGCATGAAAGAAAAGAATAGGGTCAAGATTGAAACTCTGAAGATACCACTATTTAAGAATGGTCGTAAGTAGTAGAGCCCACCAAAAAGATGGAGAAGCAGTAGCTGGAAAAGAGGAACAGAGAGAAAGAAGAATCCCACCATGGAAATCAAATGCTGAGAGCATCTTAAGAGGGAGGGAGTAGTTAGTAATGGTGGAAAGTAATGTAAAATAAGAAGTAAATGTGTCAGGACCAGCAGTTGGCATAATGGCTATGTCGCTGGACTCCCACGTAGCTGGCTGCGGTTTGAGTCCCGGACTTGGTGGTTTAAACTCACTCCTGGTGTGTGTGTGTGCATGCCCAAGATCCCGAGAGGAGAATGGAGGAGGGAATGCAGCGTGGCCATCTGCCCTGGGGGATGATTTCTCGCTTTCTGTCTCTGTCTTTCTGGCGAGCGCACTCAGCCTATAGCAAAAACCTCTCAAAAAAGAAGTAAATGTGTCTATTGTAATTTAGTGCATGCACACATGCACACACACACACAAACAACAAAACGAGAGAGAGAGACTTTGATCTGATGGAAAGTAATTTCAGTGGAGCAGTGGATGTTGTAAATTGCAGTATAATGAGAAGAGTTCTGAAATATATTTAGAACAATTCTTGCTTGTGAGGGGGAGGGGGATTCTCCTTTTCTCACTCTGTTTTAAACAGTCAGGAGAGACTTGGAGTTAGCAGAAATGGTGAAGGGAGTCAACAGAGTAATTAATGTCCTTGAGGAAGCTGGAGAAAGGAATTCTGATCATAGGATCAGGGCCATAGTAGGATCCTCTTTCATGATTAGATAAGGTCATAGGAATAGAGTTATTGTTTGTTTACATGTTTGATCACAAGAAGTTAAAGGTGTTTCTAAGTGATTATTGTATTACGTTTGAGAAGAATGGAACTTCGAAAATGCTGAGAAGAGGGATGTCGTAGTGGTCATGTTGCTGGACTCCCACATGGCCGACTGTGGCTCCAGTCCTGGACCCAGTGGCTTGAAAATCATTCTGTGTGTGTGTGTGTGTGTGTGTGTGTGTGTGTGTGTGTGTGTGTGTGTACATGCCTAAGATCCTAGGAGGAGAATGGCGGAGACGGAATTATGGTGTGGCCGTCCCCTCTGGAGAGTGATGAGTGATTTCTCACTTTCCCTTTCACTGTCTCTGTCTTCTCTCTGGCAAGGGCATGTGTTCTGAGGCAAAAACCTCTAAAAAAAAAGAAAATGCTGAGAAAACTGTCTTATGGCATAGAAAAAAGGCCAGGCAGTGTGTAATTGGAGGTGTGGTGGAGATCTGTCAGCCTAGAGTGGTGCCAGTCTTCATGGCTCTATTTTTTTTTTTTTAATTTTTTTCAATCCCAGCAATACTAGGTGCTCAGATGTAGGCAGAGTGGAAGCAGAGATTTGGATTACCCTAGACTTGGATTGTTATCCAGCTCATGTGCAAAATGAACAATAGGGTAAGGATACTGATGGCTGACTGAATTGAGGGACTTTGGAGTCTAGTTAATCATGGAAGGTCATGAAGAAAGGGAAGTGAAGAAACAGAGTTAGTGAACGCCTCAGTTTCATAGGCAGACCACTCCGTATGTAATGAGTGACTACGTGAGAAAGCTAAGAGAGGATAGTAGTTGTGGTCAGAGAGAGGGTGGTTTGAGTCTTTGTCCTTGTTGAAGCAGTACTTGGTTATAACAAAAGAACATTCATGTAGAAACAATGGCTAAATTTCAATGTGTGTTACTTGATGGAGGAATAAGGATGGAGAGAAGGAATGTGGGGGAAGAAGAGTAAGAGGGAAGAAGAAAGGAAAGGAGGAAGAGAAGAAAGGAAAGAAGGGAGGTGCTAACTCCCTTAAGTTTCCTTTATGAGGTCGTTACAGCAGGGTTGTCTAAGAACCAGCTGATGAAATACTGCCTCACACAGTCACAGAACTCCAAGGCTGGCAAGATTTTGCGTCTCTTGGACTATTCTCATGGACTTAATATTGGATGCTGTTGTTAAGCTGGCTTATGTGCTGACAAGGGAGGAGGGAAAATACCAATGTCCTTTGCGATCTGGAAATATTTTAGGAATGGAGTGATAAGTCATGTATTTTTCATAGTTTAACTTTTATGTCTAGATGGGCCAGTGTCTTCAGAAATGGAATCCAGTAGAAATGATACCAAAGATGATCTCGGTGTAAGTATCAAAGTGGAATTTTGTGTTTGTATTCAGAAACCTTCTAATCTCTTGGTTTGCTAGATAGAATGGAAAGATAGCTAACAATAGTTTTGATATAAAACTACTTCTCTCTTTTTGACAAATATACTTCCTACTTAGCATAAAAGCTCTTTCTTTTGTGAGTTATAACCTATGGTGGTAAATTACAATTTGTACACTAGAGGTTTTATTTAGTTTACGAGTTAAAAAAGATTTTGGATTTTCCCCCTTGGGTTGTTATTTGAATGTTTTAAGTGTAATTTTGTTCATTACACTTACATTATTGGTTTAGGTCACCTTAAAAATAAAAGCATAAGCATCTTAACCTTTTTTCTTTTTTTTAAAGCTATGCTTGATAAAAGAATGTATATTTTGGTACTTTTGGACTATACTTGTATCTTATCTTTATCCAGCATATTACTTTATTGATTAAAGTGGTTTTCTGTTAACTTAAATATTTGTGATAGCAGAAAACTAGCTGATTGGTTAATATGGAAAATCAAATCTTCCTCTTTAAATTTCAAAGATTATCAGGGACTGCTTTCTGCCTAGGTACCCAGGTGCTTTTTTTCCCAAGCCTAAGATTTTCAGGAAAGTGATTGCTAATTTTGGTGGTGTTTTAGTGACCATCACATGTCAATTTGTTATAGAATTTAAATGTGCCTGACTCATCTCTCCCTGCCGAAAGTGAAGCGACTGGCCCTGCCTTTGTGCCTCCGCCTTTCCCTCCGATCAGAGGGCCTATGTTTCCCATGGATTCTAGGGGCCCATTCATAAGAAGAGGACCTCCTTTTCCTCCGCCTCCTCCAGGAGGCATGTATGGAGCATCTCGAGATTATTTTCCACCAAGGGATTTCCCTGTCCCACCACCTCCATTTGCAAGTATGTTTTTTTGTTTTTTAACTTAATATGTGTTTATATAGTAAGTCAATTATATTAGTTTTACTATCTACTCAGGTAGTAATACAGTAGAGGAAAAAAACTGTTCTCATGTTTTGGGAATATACTATGAGGAAGGCAGCCAGCCATTATCAGGCTTCAGCTTGATTCATCTTACTGTGGAAATCATTTTGTATTTTAGTAGTTGAGAAAATGATTGAGTGTTTACAGCAGTCTTATGTTAAGACTAAAATTTTTGTTATCTGATAGAAACTGGTTATTGTAGCAGTTAGTAAAATTATTCCAATTTATATTGTAGCATTAAAATTACTTGGGACCAGCAGATGGCATAATGGCTACGTCACTTGACTGCCATGTAGTCTACCGCAGTTCGAGTTCTGGACCTGGTGGCTTAAATTCATGCTGGGCGCATGTGCATGTGTGCCCAAGATCCTGAGAGGAGAGTGGAAGAGAAGGGATTGTGGTGTGGTCATCCCCCTGGGGGGTGATTTCTCGCTTTCTGTCTCTCTCTGTCCTTCTGACGAGCACATGCACCCTATAGCAAAAACCTCTCAAAAAAAAAATATATATATATATTGGCCAAAGATTTTTAAGTCTTTTTCATAAGTAGTCTCATGTACTCCCCACTTATTTAACATCTAAAATATGTTTGTTTGGTCCCATTGTTTGTTGATTTTATTAAAGTTCTTTCATGTCTCATGTAAGAGAAAAAAGGAACAATTTGCTTTTATATCTATACTTTACTATTTAGAATAGTAAGTTTCTGCAGTATAAATATATGATTAAAAAATACTAGGTAGAAGCCGCTTGTCTTATGTAGTTATTCTTTTTCTCCTTTCTCCTATATTTTTAAAGTTTTAAGATGAATTAAAATGAATTTTATTTGCCAATTTTTTTTCCTTAAGTTTTTTGACTATAGGGTATATGTACTGTTGGATATAGAGAGACAGACAGTGAGAAAGTGAGAAATCCCCCCACCCTGGGGGAGGGATGGCTATGCTATCGTTGTCTTCCTCCACTCTCCTCTCCAGGTATTTTGAGCACACACACACACCTGGTGTTTGGGCACACACCTGGTACGATTCTCAAGCTGCAGGGCCTGGGACTTGAACCACGAAGCTGGTCATGTGGGATCCAGTGCCTTAACCTCTATACCTCTATTTGGCAAATTTTAAGATGGTCTTTGATTTATCTGGAAATGTAGTACATTAGAATTGGGAATCACTGACCCAAATATTAAGTCTGATGAAAATTATACATGAAGATAGGACAAAATTTTGTGTTTAAAATGAACAATTCCTTTAAGCATGCATAATTGAAGAAAATACATTTTCACAATGTTTTAAAAGTTAATTTGTTAGGTCAAGTAATTATTCTGGTGTTAATTTTTTAATATAAAGCATTAGAAGTTACAAGTTAATGATTTATTAGGGCTGCTGTACAGGTTCTTAAAGTTTAAAAAAATGTTTTTTACCAATCTTTCTGAACAGTGAGAAATGTCTATTCTCCAAGGGGTTTTCCTCCTTATCTTCCCCCAAGAGCTGGATTTTTCCCCCCACCCCCACATTCTGAAAGTAGAAGCGAGTTTCCTTCAGGGTTGATTCCGCCTTCAAATGAGCCTGCTACTGAACGTCCAGAACCACAGCAAGAAACCTGACAATGTTTTCGGTCTTCCTTCAAAAAGAATTTTGACATCTCTCTCATTTTCAGTTTTAAGTAACTACTGTTACTTAAGTGATCATACTTTTGCTCAAATTGAAGCTTAATGGAATTATAATTCTCAGGATAGTATTTTGTAAATAAAGATGATTTAAATATGAATCTTATGAGTAAATTATTTCCATTTTATTTTAGGTAGTATAATTATTTTAACTTGATCAACTAGTCTATTACATAAACAATAATGGGAATTTTATATATATTATCTTGCAGTCGGGGATGTTTTAAACTCCAAAGGCTTGTCTTTATGCCAAGAACTGTATGTACTATGGTTGTAGACAAATGTGAAAGTAACTTCATGCTTAATTAAATACATTTTAATTGATTTGAAGATTTTGGTATTGATAATAATAAAGTCAGCTAGCTTTTTCATAAATATGGCTCTACTAATTAGTTTTTTTTGGTACTGGTACTCATAACTATGAGGTTTAAAACTAAAAGCTTTATATGGGTCTTTCTGATTTGATTATCTTCCAAAAACTGTGCCTTCTTTGTTGCAATAAACATGACTAACCCAAAGCAACAAATAATACCCCTGTAAAAATGTTTATTTGATTTTATTCATGATAGCAAGTGTGTAGAGACAGAGACATATACACATACAGCCTCTTGACAGGGTCATCTCACACTGTGATCCTTTCTCCAGCCGTCCAGCTTGAGATCTTGGGCTTGTACTCGTGGACCTGGCATGTTTTCAGGCCAACCAGAAGTTCCAAACCCATGATCAAACCGTATGACTTCTAGCATTGCAGTTGTTTGCTACTCACTATACTAGTAGACAGAACCAAATAAGCTGTTTTTTAAAATGAAAAGAAAACCAGGATATTGTCTAATGTTGAATTTCAGAATTTTGATTTTCTTAGTTCATTTACTGGTTTTACTGAATAGTTTTCTTTCTTTTACTATTCACTTGTAAGGTATTATTGTGGGGAATGTTGAGATTTACTACAGGAGAACTATATTGAGTCAGTCGGTCATCGTTGTGAGTTTGGACTCAATATATCACCTGTAGGTTTTTTCCTAAATCAGGTTTATATTTTGTTAGTCACTTTGCACAGTTACATGATTATGGGAGGAAACGCAATGAAGTATAGTTAATAAATGTCACAATACTATATTAGCCAGTTGACTGTTTTTAATTTACTTGTATTTTTTTCTTTAGTGCCAAAGGACCAAAGATTAAATATTCTTGAGCGAAACCATTGTTGCATTTGTAATTAGAATGCTTCCTGTCAATATTTCCCCAAAACTTGTTAGGACCACAGGTCTTGTTAGGTATTCTCCCCTTCCATTCTCACTCTACCCCAGGAAAACTGAAGGCCAAAAAGAAAGTCCATTTTAAATGCTTGGATAAATATTGAATAAAATGAAAATTGTGAAAGCATCAATTCCTTAGATACTTAATATGAGGTAAAAGTGTATGTTTGCCCAAATTCATATGGGGGGGGGTACTTTAGGGCCCGGGGAACAAATTTGGGGGCCACAACTTTAGAGGTAATCATGAAAACGGATGAAATTACCTCAGGAATGAATGTAAATAGAGATGTGGAAACTTGCGACAATAATAGAAAGCTTTGCACTTTGTGAAGGTAAAAATTGCATCCATGACTGAAAATCAGGACATTCCTTTCTTTTTTTAGATTTTTGCTATGGGGCGTGTGTACTTGCTAGAGAGACAGAAAGCAAGAAATCACCTTCAGGTGGGATGACCACGTTGCAATCCCTTTTCCCCCATTCTCCTTTTTGGATTTTGGGCATGCACACACATGTGCACAGTGTGAGTTTTAAGCCACGAGTTCTGGGACTTGAAATGCGTCTATGTGGGAGTCCAGCAACATAATTATCACACCATCTGCTGGTATCCCAAGACATTCTTTTCTAAAAAAATAAAAAAAAAAATACTTGTACTTATTTATCACTATTTCTAAAGTTGTTGTAGGGCTCATGTACTTACTGGAGAGAGACAGAAAGGGAGAGAGAAAAGTGAGAAAGCATACCTCCAGGGAGGATGGCCACACTGCAATCCCTTCTCCATTCTCTCACGATTTTGGGCTTACATGCACATACGCCTGGTGTGTTTTTCATGCTGCTGGTTCTGAGACTCAAACTGCAGCTAGCCATGTGGAATCTAGTGCCTTAACTTCCATACCACCTGCTGGTACCCTTTCAACAAATTTAAGCTTCATAATGCTACTTCTAAGCTGAACATCCCCAGGCATGGTTTTCTCCTCCATAGGTCAAAAAGTTATTAATGGACACTTAGGTTGCTGCTGATTTTTTATTATAAAGGAGAAGGAATCAAGGTAGTATTTATTTATTTATTTGTCACATAAGAAGTAGCTTTTCGGAGCTATAGTGTTAATGCTGGTGTGCATTCCCTCAGTATAAGCAAAGACTTTCCAAACAGTATGCAGGTATACTTTTAAAAGAAAATTCACAGAATGTTACCTTCTGTGTATATTCTTTTTCTAAAACTTCTAAGGATGAACCATATGAGAAGGTGCCTGTTCTCCTTTCCTACCCTCTCTTATAGTTAGCCTTTTCCTCTGTTACATCTCTCAGTCAGTCCTAGTCTTACTATGGTGCATTATACTAAAGGTGTACAGACCTGTGGAGCTCCAAGGAACAATTTAAAATATTAAGATAAGTGCTGAGAAAATGAACAACTCTGCTTTTGACAAATTGGCATTTAAGGTAATTGTTGATCACAGACCAGTGTTCTATATTTGTTCTTATTTGCCCGTAAATTTGAAGAATGAGTGACATCTTTATTGCAAAAATTTTTTCAATCTATATGAAAAAGACTTCTCAGCACTTATGCCTATAAAATGAAAAATAAGAATAGAATTGATGCTGAACCTGACTCATTTAAGGAACAACTAATACTCATCCATGATGTACAAACTATTTGGAGGGAAGGCCCAACTTTACCCATCCCATTAAGAAATGCAATTCCAGTTACTTTTGCTTTTGACCGTTTTGACTGGTCTGCTTTTGCTTAGACTGGACTTCCACCTCTTGGTAATCATTGCTTGGATTCTACGTTGTCTTCAGGATCAAACTGATAAAGCCAAGTGTCATCTCTTGTTAAATTCTTCAATGAAATACTTCTCTATACTTGTTTGAAATTTCCATAGAAAATTCTGCTCTTCAGTGATCTGGGTGCAACAGTTTTGGTACCCATCAAGCAGAAAGTTTACTCAACAATAATTTTTCAGTCAGAATTATAAAACCTGAACCAACTGAGATGTCTATAGTGTTGGCTGTTGTTTCTGCAGTTGTCAGTTGTCTTTAATTAGGGAAGGAACAAAGTGAACTCTTTGCTGTCAAGTAATGTGGATAGTCTGCTGCTGTAGGCATCATCTTGACAGCTGTCTTATCCCTTCTTTAGGAGTAGTTACCCATTTGTGAACTGCCTGGTTCTTAGGGGGTATGGTCACATAAATACTTTTTGTAGGGCCTCAAGGATTTCACCTTTGATTCCCCCAAGTTTCACCATCAATTTGATGTTTATTCTTGCTTCGGTTTTAACAGAATTCATATTGCTTTGATAGGTGCTCTTCTCAAAACGGTCTTTTACTGTTCTTATGCTTGAAACTAGTTCCTGTTAAGACATGTTATAACAGATTGGTATGAGTTTATTCTGGTACTTGTATTTTGAAATCCGTAGTTTTTAATAGGCATTTTCTACAAACTTTTTGAAGACCCCTCACCTATTGCAAATTTGTTTTCTAAAGTAGATGTATCAATTCAAGTTCTAGCTGGCTAGTGTTTTTCTGTTCTTTGCCAACACAAGGTATATCTTGTTTATTTTTCTTCCAGAAAGGATGACTCAAGTGTCCTAAAAACTTACTCATGATACACCTTCCATTTTCTCTCCACAACTGGCAATCCAATTTAGTAGTTACACCAGTGATGTCCCTTAAAGCTAGTTACTGAGTACTAGGGAGGCTGGGAGCCTGAGCTAGTTGCCTCCTAATGCTTCATTCTTCTAAGATTGAAGACAGCAAGAGTGGACTGGGTCTGGCAGTGTACCCTCAGTAGCCAGTGAACTGATAATTCCTCCTGGCCAGATGAGTGCCCACTGTCTATCATGGGGGTTGGGAGTGTGTGTATGTGAAGCCGGAGAGTAGCTGGACTCCAGGTGTCTAGAGAGAAGGCAGGAAGCACTCTGATGCCCTGAGGTATAGCTGGCTGGGTTTGAGGGGTCTGAGAGCTGGGGCTGGAGGACTGTTCGTGTAGGCCTTTAACTGCCTTCAGTACCTATCAGACACTTCTGTTTATTGGTGGTTGCAGTATGCTGTTAGTGGTATCTCAACTAGCAGCAGGGGTGTGTATATGGAAAATTAGGAATTGGAACTTTGTCATTACTTTGAAATAACTAATGGAAAAAGTCGATTTACATGTGAAATTAATTCATATTGTAAGAAATCTTGATCAACATTAATCAAAGAGCTCTTAAATCTCTCGATTTCATCTGTGTAAATTTTTGAATAGTTATAAAGGCTTAAAATTATTACCTATTTGTGGGATTTTTTTTATTAGTGGCAGTATTAATATTTTGAAGAGGTTACCTTAAATAAAAACATTTGATACAATTTTATTTCAAAATTTCATTCAAATTCAGTAGTCATCAAGTTCTCTACATTTTTTACACTGATTAAATAATATGATTTTCTCCTCTCATTTATTCTAGTTTATGCTCATATGCTGTAAATATTTTCTGCCAGGATATGAAAAGACTTGGTAACCATTGACACAATGTGGTGTGGCTCCTGGGTATCACTCACATCCACTGTGTTTCTCCATTAGCACAGTGGTAATGCTACTGGCTTCAGAAAGATACTGTCTGGCTCATGCTGTAAACCCCATCCAAGTTAGTTTCTGTATCTTTTTGTTCAACTATAAGCCCACTGTCACTCCATTGATTCCCCAAATTCTTTATTCCTAGGGTAGCAGAGAAAATGGGAAAATGACTTTAGATAGGTAGATTTATGTTTTGAAAATATTTAATACTAACTATGTTAAAAGATGATCTTTTGAGTTCATGAGCTGTTAGGCTCACAACAATTGAACATTTCAATGAAGAATCATAGTTTTAAATAATCAAGTCCAGTCCCTCATCTCACAGATGAGAAGCTGAAACGCACAGATGAGTTTGTGTTCAAGTAATTTATCCAGAGTTTAGGCCTAGAAAACATGTTGAGTGTCCAGGTTAGATGTGTCCAGGAAGTAAGGAAGTAGTAGGTATAAAGACAATTCTTTGTGAACGCCTATTATTTCAAGATGAGGTGGTGCCTGGAAGAGTCAAAGTCTAGAATGATTAAGGACAGAAAGAAGCAGGAAAAGAAACCATCCTTCCAATAAAAGAGAGCTATTTATCTAAATATTCAAGAATGGGGATTACAATATCAAACTTAAGTAATGTAGGAGTTCACAAAGTATTTAAGTATTTTTATAACTAATACAGGAATTACCAAAAAAAAAAAAAAAAGCCTCCCAGTTAGCTAGGATCACAGGTATACACTTCTGGCATGCCCAGGGTACTGAGCCTGTGTCTACCAATGTGGCTTCCAGTCTACCAATGTGGTTTTCTATGGATGCCAAAGTCGGACCTCTTTTTTTTTTCTTTTTGTTTTTAGACAATCTTGCTATGTTACCCAGGCCATTCTTGAGCTTATGATCCTTCTTTCTCAGCCTCCATAAGTCACTGGGACTACAAATGCATACCACCATGCCTGGCCTATAGTTTGAACTGGGAATTGAACCCAGGCCTCTCAAGTGCTCCCAGCTTGAAGAGCAGTGTCTTAGCAGCACATACTACTGTGGTGAGGCTTAGTGTTTGCCTCTAAGATTGTAATTTGTCAGAATTTAAATTAAAAAATATGAACCACGCAAACTATTCAGCCTTTTTATAATGTGTTCACAAATTTAAGATTTGCTGCAGCAGAATAGGAGCTAACATATGATTATACACAATGTAAGGATTATTGCAGTTTATTTAACACTAAAAGTTTTCATGCTTCATATACAACAAAATATATTACAATGATCACTTTTTAATGCTTTATTCATTGATTAAAAGAATATACATTTAACATAAACCATACAACATCAGTCATCAGGTCAAACATTCAGCTGGTTTCCTTACAGTTTCTGTCAGGAGTTATTTTATCTGATCACATTTATAAGATAAAATCTCACCACATCTGGCATTTACACACACTGTGCCAGTGGATTCACACTACTGATGTACATATAAAATCCGCATGGTATGTGCTCACTGGAGACAAAACAGTGCACACCTGTCAAAAGGTCATTTTAATATAAGATGGTAAAACCATTTGTAAAACACATATAAACTTTTTCCATAAATAGAATCATATCTGGACATCTGTTGCATAAATTGTTTCCAAAGCTTACAATAGAGCAGCCAGGTCTCAGCACTGCTGGGCACCCACGTTGGCTACTTACTTTATTATTGCAGACTGTCCTTTAACATTAAATGCACAACATTCGTACCACTTAAAACTGGGGTCAGGTGGAAGTCTCACAGAGACCACGTCTGTACCGCGGTTGCCCTGAAACAGTTAAATCGGCTTTTAAAGCCTCTCAGATATAACAAGGTTTTAAAACATACTTCATGGAATGTTCTTCATGTATCATAGCAGCTCATACCTGTGATAGAATAAGCTTTCAGTTTTTCCTTTCTTTCCTTTACATTCACTATTCACAGTGAAACAGGTGCATGTTTTTTTTTTCTTTTTTTGTTTTTGTTTTTTTTTTTTTTTTCAGAGTTCTGAGGTTGCTGACTGAGCCACAGCACAGCTGTGTACCACAGGTCGAAATTCGACCTTAAATATTACAATCCAGCAGTATCTGGCTGGCTAGAGTGAGCCAGCCCCTGCCAGCATGTGGGCACTTCTTCATTTAAGTCTATTCTTTGGCAGCTGACACGCGTGCTGACAGAGAAAAATCCAGTGACTTGTTGCTAGGGATTTCACGACTAATGTTTGTTTCTAAGCATGTGTGTTTATGACTCTGTATTTTGATTTTCTTTAGGAGGTTTTATCCTGGAATCCAGTTTCTTCCTCCACTATTTGAAATCTGGGCTAAAAAGCTAACTTGAATATATAATATAATTGATGAATAAAAGTGTCAGATATAGTTTAAAAAAAATCCAGCAATCTGAGTATTTATGTAAATACATTAAAAAGATTAAGCAATATTCTAACCTAGTATGATACAAAATTCAGATGGTACTTGATGATATCAACTGTTATATATGTAATAAAATTAAAGTGTTGGCTTTTCTGTTACAGATAACTCATTTGGGATATTATCTTCCCTTCCATTTCAAATTAAAATTAATGAAATGCTATCAGAATGTATGGATACAGTGCATTGCATATAATCTACCAGGCTATGGATATTTATCTATGTGTTTATAAAAATATTTTGGCTCCTGAGCTCTGAACTCTGTCATACAAGGAATAAAAACTTCAAAAAAGCAGAGTAACTCAGTGAAAAATAAAGTTAGCCAGCAACCTCAGACAACCTTCGGTTGTATATACTTAAGGTTGGTAACAAGTCCATTAACCGTGAAAGCCCTATATAGTGTCACTTTGAACTTCTAAACCAATACCCGACTACGTTCTTTGATCAAGAAGTAGAACATACATATATAATTCTATAAAGCTAATACTGATTAAACACAGCACAAAGGGATTAATTCATACTACTGAAAAAAACATAATAGGACCCTATTTGCATATATAACCACAGGAATTGTACATTTAAAAAAAGCTAAATGTCTTCACTGAAGTTTTGCATCTCTCTATAAAAATGACGATTTGGTTCAGTGAAGACACTGAGTGATTCAATGTCCATGACGGCATGCCAAGGTTGACCCAGGCCCAGGGATACCTGCTCAATAAGGTTATGCACTGGATCCACATCCTGGTCGGCCAGTTCACCTTGGTCAAAATCAATGCTTTCTTCGGTGACTTCAAGCACTTTTAGATCAGAGCCACGAAGACGAGCAATGGCAATGAGGTTGTGTGCCCACACTGTGTAACCTTTAGAAAAGCAAAAAGATAACATTGTCATTTCCTTGGATTTTGTTCTCTTTTTGAGAAGCTAGTCTTTTCCTCATCCATCTGCTTCCTGAGAAGCTTCAATTTTGTATCTCACTCGCTACTTTGGTCCTTTTCCTTTAAGAGTATCCTGAGGGGGTTGGAAAGTGGTGTGATTAAGGAGCTGGACTCCCACATGGCTGATCATGGTTCGAGTCTTGAACCTGGTGGCTTGCTTTCTCACTTTCCCTCTTTCTTTCTCTGTATCTCTCTGGTCAAATTAAATAATAATAAATAAAATTAAATAATAAAATAATTTTAAAAAAAGTAACAAGAAATGAGAATATACTGCAGTTTGAAAAGGAAATGTGAATTAGTTAGCCCAGGAAAAAACAGCTAGAAGTTTGATACTGTCTTCAAAAATACTTCAAGAATTGGTAGGTGATGTAATCCTATTCTGATAAAATTTCATTTGGTAAAATACACTTTGTAACACTGGATAGTGATATAGCATTAGGAATAAATTTTTATTTTATACATGTGTATCCATCAATAATATATAATACATCAGTTTTTATCTGTAAAAAGATCATTTTCTGGAGCCCAGGTGGTGTGGAGGTTAAGGAGCTGGATCCTACATGACTGACTGTGCAGTCTGAGTTCTGGACTCAGCGGTTTGAAAATCACAGTGGGCCACAGTAAAGATGTATAGTGATTAAATGTATGTTAAAGAAAAAAAGAAAATCACACTGGGCACACATATGAGGAGGCTGGAGGAGAAAGGATTGTAGCATGGCGTGCCCCCTGGGGGGCGATTTCTAATTTTCTCTCTTTCCGAATCTCTCTGGTGAGTGCATGTGCTGTATAGCAAAAAAACTTAAAAAAAAAAAATTCTCCCAGGACACATCACAGTCTGAAGTTGTAAAGTGATACTTTAAATTGCTAATTGCCAGGAGCAAATATATAAAGTATATAATATAAGCATAAGTCACAGGAATGATGTACCAACTTCAGAATAAAAGTCACTGCTGGGAAGGAATATAGCAGAAGAGACAGAAGGAGCTTTAGCTGTATCTAATAGCATCTTCTTTCTTAAAAGAAACAAAGGCTTTAAAAAGACTGGTTTAATTTTTAAGTACCCTGACATTTCTTTATGTCCATTTACTTACTACTTTCAATATTGATCTATTATTTATTATTAGTCTTCTTAATTGCCAGAGGGCACATTTGCTGGCCATAGACAGAGGGAGGGAGAGACATGGAGACAGAGAAAAAAAGCACCTCTCAGTGTGGCATGGTCATGTTGTGATCCTTTTTCTTCTACTGCTTTATCCCATCAAGATTTGGGGCATGTATGAACACAAGTCAGATGTGGTTTTTAAGACACCAGGGCCAGGACTCAAACTGTAGTCAGTCATGTGGTAATTGACTCCTGATGTACTGTGCTTTTTTACCACTGTGCTGGAAGGCTGGCCCTCTACTGATCTATTATTTCTGTCTATCTATTGCTACTCTAATGACTGGCCAAATCATAAAGTGAAACTTGAAAAGCAAGACAACAAACGCAGACTAAAGAGTAATCCTCAAAATAATGAAACAGAGCTAATAAAGAAAATGTAAATATTCTTACAGGCTATTATGTAACTGTCTTAGAAGTATTAGGAAAAGATATAAAATGCTATTTTAATTTGTCAGAAAAGCAACTCTCTCCAAATGAGAATAGCTTCACATTAAGATGAAAGGTCCCAGAATATACCTTATCAGTAGAACCATCATTTTTAAAATGTTATACAAATTAATACACTGATAGGCAGACTCTAAGATGAGGCAATGAGCATGAAAGAAATCATACTCTTCTGCGCTATGTTTTTAAATGGTCTTGTGATTACAGGAGGAGTATACATGTTTTCCTAGACAGCTAAATTGACTTCAAGTACCATTTTTGTGAAACACCATCCATCACATGGTGGAAGAAAAAAGTAGCAGGTAATTTAAGCCAGTCTTAAACAGTGGGATTGAGATATAGCTTCCCATTTGTAAGTGATACATTCTATCAGTTTTCAAATGCACAAGAATTTGTGTATCAATTTGTTATAAGAACTCCTGATACTATAAAGGTCAGTGCAGTCTTTACTGGCATAAAATGTTCTATTTGTAATCCCAATCTCCAATTATAGTGAACAAAGTCACCTACCATGAATTGCCAGAAGAGAAAGCTTTGTGCACCTCCATGCTAATAAAACCAGTGGATCTTCATTTCGGTTGTCACTAAGATCTGGAAAACCCGAAGTGTCAATCACATCATTCATTAGTATAAAATGAGTAAGGAACTTGTCATACTGCCTGGATATAAGATCAACAATAGCCCCTGAAACACAAGTGATGTAGCTGTCAAAATGAATCCTCTCTAGTGGTATACTGGGTTTCAGAATCTTTAACATATCTTCGCTCTTGATATCAAAAGCCATTATATAGACCCGAAGGCTGGTACTCTTCCGTGACAGGGCTTTCCAATGCTCATCATTTGGCATGTTGTCCAGAGATTTGTGCATCACAGAAACATTGTGGACCAGGAGAGACAGTCGCTGCAAAGGCACATGGTTGCTATCAGTTAAGACTCTTGCCATCTCAGCTGTAAAGTCACAAAAATCCAGGGCAAGTGAGCGCAGATTCACAAATCTCTCTAGTTCAATTGCAGTGATAAGAGTGCTGTTACCAGGAATATTGTTGTCCAGTAAACTCAGATGCTCCATGGTGTTGGCAATAGAGTTAGAGAGAGATGACAGTGATGTTGGAGTTACTATTTCCAGCATAAACCCACAGGACAGCCATTTCAGTTGCCTGCTATTACTCAGTATTTCTTCAAACAGCTGCTGAATTCTATAAGGGAAACACATGCCAAAATTCTCTCATTAATATTTAGCTCTAATCTTTTAACATTGATTTTTGGAAACAGGCGATGAATAGCATGCAATGTTGAGATCCATTTTCTCTCATTAGTTAATTTCTTTTTTCTTTCTGGAGAGGTTGCTATAGGGCACGTGCGCTCACCAGAAAGAGAGATAGAGAGACAGAAAGTGAAAAATCACACCCTCCCCTCCCCCGGTGGGGATAGCCATGACACAATCCCTTCTCCATTCTCCTCTTGGGATCTTGGGCACACATGCACATGCACCCGGCATGAGTTTAAGCCACCAGGCCCAGGACTTGAACCGCAGTTGACTCCATGGAGTCCAGCGACATAGCCATTACACCAACTGCTGATTCCAAATTTCTATTCAATCAATAATAAATACCATAGAAATTCATGTCAAAATATAATGGGACTAGTAAGTGGTATGGTGGTTAAGGTGCTAGATTCCCATATGGCTGACCATGGTTTGAGTCCTGGATCTGGTGGTTTAAAAATCATACTGGTGTGTGCCCAAGATCCCAAGAGGAAGATGGAGGACAAAGGACTGTGGTGTGGTCATCCCCTTTTGGGGAAGGGGTGATTTCTCACTTTCTTTCTCTGTCTCTCCAGTGTGTGTACACACTATGGCAAAAATCTGAAAATAATATAAAAAAGAGTTAAGATATATTAAACATACACATATCAAACACAGAAATATGTCCTTCATCTAGGTAAAGCCATAATTTCCTTGAAGTTACTTGATTTGTTTTAAAATATTTATGAACTAGAACAACAATAGAGAGACAGAAAGTGAAAAATCACACCCCCCCCTCCCCCGGTGGGGATAGCCATGACACAATCCCTTCTCCATTCTCCTCTTGGGATCTTGGGCACACATGCACATGCACCCGGCATGAGTTTAAGCCACCAGGCCCAGGACTTGAACCGCAGTTGACTCCATGGAGTCCAGCGACATAGCCATTACACCAACTGCTGATTCCAAATTTCTATTCAATCAATAATAAATACCATAGAAATTCATGTCAAAATATAATGGGACTAGTAAGTGGTATGGTGGTTAAGGTGCTAGATTCCCATATGGCTGACCATGGTTTGAGTCCTGGATCTGGTGGTTTAAAAATCATACTGGTGTGTGCCCAAGATCCCAAGAGGAAGATGGAGGACAAAGGACTGTGGTGTGGTCATCCCCTTTTGGGGAAGGGGTGATTTCTCACTTTCTTTCTCTGTCTCTCCAGTGTGTGTACACACTATGGCAAAAATCTGAAAATAATATAAAAAAGAGTTAAGATATATTAAACATACACATATCAAACACAGAAATATGTCCTTCATCTAGGTAAAGCCATAATTTCCTTGAAGTTACTTGATTTGTTTTAAAATATTTATGAACTAGAACAACATATACTGACCACTTATTTCATCATTAAGACATTTCCAGGAGTATATTTAGAAAGAAAAATCACTCTTCTGATTGTATCTTATCATTTTTCAGAAGAAACAAACTAATATTATATTTTAAGTGCTGGAGGGTACATGTGCCCACCAGAGACAGAGAAGGAGAGAAAGCACCCCCAATGGGGTGTGTTCATGCTATAAGCTCATCTTCTCCTTTTCTCCTTCCTATCAGAATGTTAGGCACATATGCACATGCACCTGGCATGTTTCTCAACCCACTGGGATTGGGATTCAAACTGTAGTTGACTATGTGGGATCCAGCTTCCTTTACCACTAGGCTATGAGGTTAGCCCTAAAATTATTACTAAAGAGCTCATCCTATTAATTAATAACTTACTGTTTAATTTTTTTGCCATCAGGGTCCACCTTGCTGAGGTATGTATTTGATAAACTTCCTTGCTGCTGTAGAACACTTATGTCTCCAAAAAGACTAAACTTCTGGAGGTTCCTATAAGAGAAATTATTTTAAATAATTTTCTACATAATACATAAAATATAAATATTATAAATAAAAGATGTAAATGGGATATTATAGAAAAAATTTCTATGTCACAACTTAGAATCCAATGAAGTATTTTCAGATTTTTAATATATACAATGCAAAATGATATACAGGAAAAATGGCATACTCTTTAAAGACTAAGGATAGGAATATAAAGATAGGTTTAGGAATTCAATATTTAAAAAACTATGGGAAAACTCTTTAAATGTGCCTGAGATGCAATTCTTCATTAGTAATAATACCTACTTACAAGGTTTAGAGATGAGTGAAAAATTATACAGGAAGAACTATATAAACTCTAAGTTTTATATAGATGTTAATTGTGAAATAAAAATTTCTTAGACCAGTTAACCTAGTTAATCTGTTAACTGCGAAACATTCTTTAATTATAATAGAAAAGAGACCATTTCCCAGTTTCATAACAAAACTTATGATCAAAGGCAAAAAACTGTAAAAATCTTCCCATTTTAGCTATAAAACACATTTTCCTAACAGTTAAATTCTAAAATAGGAGAAAACTAATAACCAGGTAAAGACAAAACCCTTAAATGCCAATAATAACTAGAAATTTCATTTGCAACACAAAACAGCAGTAACTTTATAAGAAATCCTTAAGAGTGATCAAGAATGAAAAATACTACTTGTTGGTAGTATGTCATATTTTCCCAAATAACCATAATTTCCATTAAACATCTGATTGTAAAATTTTGCTAGAGAAATAATCAATTTACATATTCATTCAACAAAATATTCCCTGAGGGCCTATTAGGTATCAGGTGTTGTACTCCATGAGACATGACAGGCTGGCTCCATGGCTGGTGGTCTATGTTGACAACTGCATGGTTCAATTCTAGGATCCAATAGCTTGGGAAAGATGCCAGGCATGTATGTGTGCATACCTAAAATTATAAAGGGAGGTTAAGATGGAGGAGAAGGGATTGTGGTGGGACCATTCCCTGTTGGGGGTACTTTCTCCTCTCCTTTTCTTCTCTCTGATGAGTGCACGGCCCTTTTAGCAACACCAACCACAAATAAATAAATAAATTAAAAAAAGCATATTCCATAAAACTACCCAGCATTAAGAAGGCATATAAACTAGAAAAAAAACTATTGGGTTGTCAGAAAATTTATGACGCATTTTTGCATAGAAAAAAATGTGTCATGACTTTTCTGGTCACCCAATACAATTGTCTTTATTTGCCAATTATATGATCATTTACATAAAACATTCTAAAGAATCTTTAAAAACCCTACTATTGGATTGTTGGAAAAGTCATGACACATTTTGCATAGAAAAGCAGAAAAAAATGTCATGACTTTTCTGATAATCCAACAGAATAAGTGAGTTTAGCAAACTATCAAATACAAGGATTAAAGAAAGACTACAAGAATATGGTATATATAAAAATCAATTAAAAATGGGCAAATGGGACCAGCAGTTAGCGTAATGGCTATGTCACTGGACTCCCACATAGTCAACCGCGGTTCGAGTCCCAGACCTGGTGGCTTAAACTCACGCCGGGCGTGTGTGCGTGCGTACCCAAGATCCCGAGAGAAGAATGGAGGAGAAGGGATTGCAGCGCAGCCATCCCCCCTGGGGGGGTGATTTTTCGCTTTCTCTTTCTCTGTCTCTCTCTGTCTGGCGAGCGCACACGCCCTATAGCAAAAACCTCTCTAGAAAAAAAAAAATGGGCAAATGAGCCAAACAGACAAACTCTGTAAGGAATACACATGCATAGCCAAAATGCACATGAAAATGTTCAAACCACAAGATATCACTTAACCCAAGTCAGAATGGTTATGCTCAAAAAAATGAAGAATGGCAAGTGCTGGTTAGACTGTGATGAAAAGGGGACCCTCCTACCCTGTTGGTGTCAATGTAAATTAGCAAAGCCACTGTGGAAAACAGTATGGAGGTTCCTCAAAAACATACAAATAGAATTACCATATGACCCAGCAATCCTACTCCTTGGTATTTACTCAAAGGATAGGAAAACACTTAGAAGGACATTTGCATTTCCACGTTTACTGAAGCATTATTCACAATCTCTAAGACATGGAATCAACCTAAGTACCCAAGGACTGATGACAGGGTTGAAAAACTGTGGCATATATACACTATGGAATACTATTCAGCCATAAGGAACATTGAGACCCTATCATATGATTCGAAGTGGATGGATATAGAAGCTTTAATGCTAAGTGAAGTAAGCCAGATTTTGAAAGACAAACATTATTCGTCACTCAACATATACTAAATATCTGTACTCTATGGCAGAAATGGAAAGATCCTAAGATATGATAGTGAGGATAAGCATAGATACCGGAGACTCTAAGGGAACAATGGGGATGGTAGGTGGATGGGAGGGGCAAGTGGAAGAAACACTTAGATACAAGACTGTAAAGTTCTCTATTGAAAATGATGTTTATCTCTGATTTGATTGTCATGTACTGTATGCATACTTCCAAAAACCATATTGTACACTATAGGAATGTGCAATGAGTGAATGTAAATAACAAATCTTTTTTTTTTTTTCTTTTTCAATAGAATGCCTGCGCTTGCCATAGAGAGACAGAAACAAAGACAAGGAAAGTGAGAAATCACTTCCCAGGGGTAATGGCCAGGTGGCAATCCTTTCTCCTCCATTCTCCTCTTGAGATTTTGGGCATGCATGCACACATAACTGGTGTGACTTTTAAGCCATCAGATCTAGGACTTTAACTAGGGTTGTACATGTTCAAGTCCAGTGCCTTTACTGCCATGCCACTTGATAGCCCCAAAATCATGAAATTTTTTAAAAGTGGGGAGGAAAAAAAATCCCCAAAATAATAAAACCATTTTACATTTCCACTACCAAAATATAATAAGAGTTTAAGTTTCTTTCTTGTTCACCTACGCTTGATAGTTTCATTTAGGTGCACAGTGGTATCTTATGTAGGTTATTTTCATTTCCCTAATGTCTAATTGTGTTGGGCTGATTCTCATGCTTATTTACCATCAGAATTTATTCTTTAGTAAAAGTCTATTTAAGTGATTTTATCTTTTACTATATTTAATGGGATATTTTGTCTTTCTATTATAAAGTTGGAAGATTGCTTTTTTGTAATATGAATAAACACGTTTTGTCAGGGAAAAAAGTATGTATTGTGTGCCAATGATATGAAGTTATGGTGGGTAAGTTTCAGGTATCCATGGGCTTATTAGACTCCTTTTTGTTTTTAATTGTCAGAGGGCATGTACACTAGCCAGAGAGAAAGAGAAAGAGAGGGAGAAAGTACTCCTTGATGGGGGTATGGTCACATTGCAATCCCTTCTCCATTTTTCCATCCTGTCAGGATTTTATATATGCATGTACATGTACCTGGTGTGTTTTTTCAAGCCACCAGGCTACCCAGCTGGCCTGAGTTTATTAGCTTCTTCGAGTGGAAATAAAAATTTTCAAAAACCTTTAAATCAGGTAATACCAAGAATGATTGATATCTGTTAGTTATTTTAATGTGTATTCATGACTCTATTATACATAAAAATGTCCACAATTTTCATAGATGCAAACTTTAGTACTATGGGGGGGGTAACACGACACTGGTATCTGAAATATGCTTTGAAATACTTAAGTGAAGAAAAGAGAAAGCAAATGTGGCAAAAATAGTAATATTACTGAATCTGGGTGATTGATATAATGGAATTCAAATGCTTACTTTTTATGTTTGTTCAAAATGTCAGAGAGAGGGGTTGGCAGGTGGCATGGTGGTTAAGGCACTGGATTCCCACATGATTGACCACAGTTTGAGTCCAGGACTTGGTTGCTTGCCTTTTTTTCTCCCTCTCTCTCTCTGGCCAAAATAAAAAATAATAAAATTACATAAATAATTCTTACCAAAAAATTCATAAAGCACATTAAAAAACAAGGTGATCATTTCTCTCGTTGTGTAATCTGGCAAGTTCATGTAAGATTTGGGGGCAAAGGGAGGGAAGAACTCTTTTTTTTTTTTAGAGGTTTTTGCTAGGTGCATGTGCTCGCCAGACAGACAGAGATAGAAAGCAAGAAATCACCCCCCAGGGGGATGGCCACGCCATAATCCCTTCTCCTCCATTTTCCTCTTGGGATCTTGGGCATGCACGCACACGCGCCCGGCGTGAGTTTTAAGCCACCGGGTCCGGGATGTGAACCGTGGTCGACTACGTGGGAGTCCAGCGACATAGCCATTATGCCAACTGCTGGTCCTGAAGTCTTTTTTTTTTTTTTTGGAGAGGTTTTTTAGGGCACGTGCACTCATCAGAAAGACAGAGACAGAGAGACACAAAGCAAGAAATCACCCCCCAGGGGGCATGGCCACGTCACAATCCCTTCTCCTCCATTCTTCTCTCTGCTGGCCCCACTAGTTGTACCATATTGAATCTATTATTCATATGAGTCAGTCCTAGGTAAATTCCAAGGACAAATGAGTTTACATGAAACAAAAAAGTGAGGGAGGAAAAAAGAGGGAAAGGAAAATTCCAAGTCACTATACTAAGGAAGACAGAAATTTTCTGGGACAATTCAAGAAACTGACCTAGATTTATATAAAGCCTATATAAGCAAGGCACTAATGTCTAAGAGTACTTCAAAAAGTTTGTGAGGAAAAAATGGAATTAAAGAGTTTATTTTTTAAAAGGTATTTATTTATTATATACTTATTATTTTTAAATTTGCTATAGGTCATACGTGTTCACCAGAGACAGGGAGAGAGGAGGAAAGTAAGAAAGCAAGCTACCATGTACAGGACTTGAACTGTGGTCGGCCATATGGGACTCCAGCATCCCAAACACCATGCCACCATGCCACCCTTTGACCCCTTAAAGAGTTTGTTTTGATGCAAAATTTTTTTGAAGTCCATGCAATTTTTTCTTACCATGCATTTTCCATGAACTTTATGAAAATGCCTCATAAAAGTATTCATTAAAG